TAAATTGAAGTTTGTTCGTTTTGTTTTACATCGAATAATTCATGTGCTATGGGAGCAGTTTGGGCCATATATTATTGATTAATTTAGCCAGTTATTTTTTTTAAGACTTGAAATACATTTTTTGAATACACCTGAATATAATTTACCTTGTATAACCCAGGGAAGTATACACAAGGGGCCCTGTGTTTACAATGTTCCATCGTCAAGGGATACACGGTGGACGCCATTAAAAAAAAATATTTTCTATGAATTAAGCCAGTTAAACATTCACATATTTTCTTTCGATTCCAAGAAGAATGGACATGTGGTCTGTATTTTGATAAGGTTGTTTTACTGCTATATTGAGTAATTAGTTCCAATTGAAATTGTCTTCAGAATGAAAAAACTAAGGTTTAATTTCGCTTGCTCGTTCTTCTTTCTGTCGTCCATAGAACAAAACTTTTAAAATTAATAAAATTTCAAGATTTGAACAATTTCATAACTCTGGGCATAACATATTTTTTTTAACTTTCAAGTCAAAAGAAAAGAAAATTAAAGATTTCCAAGAAACTGAAAAAAACCACTATGACTGTGTTTTTTTCCAGCGTAAGCCAGTTTGTACTTCCGGTCATTTTTTTAATCGTTGTTTCATTTTCAACAATAGAGAATTTAAGATCGAAACATAATATTTTTCATTTTTTTTTCATTTATCATGATTTTTTAGGAAACTTTGATTATAATAACTTAAATAAAAATAGTGTAATTCATTAAATGGTCTTTTTTTTTTAAAATTGTATTGATGGTCTACTGCCTCATTTACTTGTGTCCTACATATCTTGATCATGTACAGAGAAAGATAATTGCATCCTAGTTCGCATTATGTAATGGACTAATTTTATAATTTTTTACTGTCTCCCTTTTTTATCGATGGGCATTCCACTCCCTTTTGAAAATACTAAATCGAAAATAAAGTACATGCACGAGCATGTACATGTACGGTGATGCTTGAAACAATGTAATTTATAAAATGACATTGTCACAGTTTTAGGACACTGTTGTTATCTGTATATGTATCTGTATCAACATCAAAGAATAATGTACTTTATTGTCACAGTTGTGGACTACTGATTCAAAATGTTGATTTCGACAACGAGATTGAGAAAAAGTTGAGTGTAAGTCATAATGTAATAGTTTATTGTTATTTTAAGAATTTGGTTGGGTCGACGTTATGCCGTCAAACACTCTATAAATTTTTAAACATTTCCTCATTTAATTCCGATCGCATGAAAAAGATGTCGGCCATATTTAGTCTTTGGTCCTGATTAACCAATATCCAAGAACCTTCTTGTCTGATTTGTTGTGTATGAAGTTTCAAAACAAGAGTATATTTCACTGTGGAAAGGAAAAAAAAACAAAAACGCAAAAAATATTACATGATTACACGCCAATGTCACAAAGTGGTATGTCTGTAGGATTATAAGTTATCACATTTTAAGTACAATCGAGATAGGCCTAGTTTCTATAAAGGTTATCGATACTAAGAGATTTCATAATACTATAAAAGATAAAGCATGCATTCATACTGTCTAATACCACATTCCATTGCAAGTAAGTAAGACGTATTCATAAATATTGTAAATGTAGCAAGGCATTAGTTCAAATGTGCTAAATAAAAGCAGTCAATATCATATTATGTTACACTTAGTTTATTGGTTAGGCTATTTTGATGAGTTGAAACATACTTGACTTATGAATGCATTTTCCATTGAAACAAAAAATATCTCAATATTTAGTTCAATTTTATCAACACACAAAAGAAATATTTTGATACCATATATAAGTAACGCTAAATGAAAAGAAAAAATCTATTCTTCTCATATTTTACATATTTTGTTAGGTATCTTTTTGCTTTACCTTTTTGGTCCAGCTACATATAGATATCAGAGAATTGAGGTTGGTTCTTGGGGATTTTTATTCCTATAGAAACATTGCAAACCAATTTTAGACAAAACTCCTACAGCCTGCGATTCCCATCACGTGCTATGTCAAAGGGGATATGATAACGTTATATATTAATTCTATTTTAGCGTTATTACTATTTGCCAAAACATTTTCTCGTGAACCTATGATCTTTAGGGTCATTACAGAGAACTCGATTATCATTGGACAACTTTGAATTTAGTTCCAATATGACCGACATTTTTATTCCTATAGAAACATTCAAACCAATTTGAGACAAAACTCCTACAGCCTGCTGTTCCCATCCTATATTAAAGGTTGCACTTTGTAAATACAGCTGTTTCGCAAACCACGCCTCTTTTGGGGAGATATAAATTAATATTCATAGATATTTTATTTTGTTGACCTACTGGTTCCGTGATATGATGTGTAGTACATAATTTTAGTATAAGTTTAAACTCTTAGAAGTTCGGGGCATATAAATGTTGAAAATATGCCGCACAGCCCTATATTTTGACCTTTGAAAAAAATTGTAGTGCATATGAGCTTTCCATTCTAGGATATAATTTTTTACGAAACTTCATAGTAAAGTGGTACAGTTTGAGGGGTAAAAGGAGTTCCTATGGGAAATTGCACAGTCTATATTTACAGAAGTGCAACCTGTAAGGGATATGATAACGTATCGTCGTTATATATTAATTCTGTTTATCACATATTTTGTACTGATATGTACGTTTTTGCATGGCCAATAATAGCCGGAAGTGAAGGTTGGTTATCAGCCCTCGGGGCCGCCAATATCGATATCAGCCCTTGAAATCCATATCGAGCCCCCGAGTTTAACTTCCGGTAACCTGCCAATCAAAAACTATTTGTAAACAAGTTGTCATCCGAAGCAGTTAGACGACCAGGAGAGGTTTCTCACAGATCAAATGACGTTGTATGTAAATTCTAAAGAAATGAAAAATGAGAACACAATGAAAAGAAATTTAGAAATTTACGAATCTGCTGTAGTAGAAAAAATGTAAAAAAATCAACTGTGGAAATCACAAATGTTCCCGTAAAATTTGGACGTCATAAAGAATTTAGAAAATATATGACGCCACAATGAAAAAGTGATTGTTGTAATCAACAGTGGAAATCACAAAAGTTCCCGTAAAATTTGGACGTCATAAAGAATTTAGAAAATATATGACGCCACAATGAAAAAGTGATTGTTGTATGACATCGAAAGTTCAAGCGGAACATATTTCCAAATCATATTAGCGAAATGGTGTATTCTTCGTCAGCATTAATTGGAAATGTAACACTTTTAAAAGTCGTTTAATATTTACAATTCTGAGAATTAATATATTTATTGTTAATTATTTGTTAAACTTTTCACAAAACTTTGTTTACTCACTGGGATACGAACTTTGTTAACTCACTGTGATACATTTTTTAAATTTTTTTCGTTAAATGTTTTTTTGAATTTTTGTTGAAAATATCAAACATAATTTGGTATATGCTATCTTTTTTCTCTTGCTTGAAAATATGTGATAAATAGATTATTACATGTCATTTTCCATATGGTCCGTGGTATCAGCCCACGACCCATATCAAGCCCTCGGGCTAAAGCCCTCTGGTTTGATATGGGAGTCTAGGGCTGATACCAGGGCCAATATGGAAAATGCCATGTAATAATCTATAATTATTATAAACTTAGTAGTAAATACAGATAAAGTGTATATGTAATACAATCATTGGCAAGCGTGCTGTATCAGCCATCCGTGATGATATCGATATCAGCACGGTTGCAAAGGCTTTATAACACCTTTAATCTGTATGACGTCACGTCATCGATTGCAGTCACTGTTGCAAAGGCTTTATCCTAATCTGTATGACGTCATGTCAAACCTATAATCTGTATGACGTCATTTCAAACCTCCTTTTCTGTTTGACGTCATGTCACATAAAAAAAAACATCTACGTGAGGTATATGTATATAATAAAGTGTATATGATATGGCTTTTTCAATATCACACACCGTATCAACCCTCAACCAATATAATCCCTCGAGCAGAGCTCTTGGGATTATATTGGTGTCTCGGGTTGATACGGATGTGATATCGAAAAAGCCATATGATATTCTCTATGTATCGTTATTACTATTTGCCAAAACATTTTCTCGCGAACCTATGATCTTTAGGGTAATTACAGAGAACTTGCTCATCATTGGACAACTTTGAATTTAGTTCCGATAAGACCGATATTGACATTTCTAGATTATACACTATATTTGGTTCATCATATGGCAAAATTTGGGGTAATTTGCTAATTTGCATAGCGGCCATTTTGCCTTATCATGACGGCAGCCATTACAATAGGATTATATAAGCCCTTTTAATAAAAATGCCAATATGCAAATACCTATGTCGAATGAACAATTTGTTCGCATATAGGTGAATTGTTCATGTTTTTAGGCTTCTGTCCGTGTACAAATGGACATTGTCTACTCTGAAATCTTTCGGCCTTTTTAGTTAAAAAATCGGAAGCGTAACCATTGTGTAATTGCTATATAAGATCAAATAAAATGACGTAAAATCGTAAAATAGCAAGATTCAGAACAGAAATACATATGCAAGAAGATATTGTTCATGATTTGTTCGCATATAGGGAAACACCTTGTAAATTGAATTTTAAAGTTAAATAACTTTTAACTTACCTGCTTTCTTAAGTTTTCGGCCAAATTCTTTTAAAAACACGATGATTTCAACCTTCCCATTTCGTAAAAAGTCAAATTTTAAGCATTTTCCCTTAGAATTACACAGCATTTTTGTAAATTTCCGCCAAAGGAAGTTTTTAAAGATACATTAGTTTTAGATACATGACGGAAAAGGACTGGATTATCCGCAAATCTATAAAAAATTATATTTTCAATCTTAAGCTAAGGGAAGTAATTTGATCATTTGACAAAGTCACGTGGTGCAAATGATTTAAATAAAGTACCTTTGATTTTGCCATAATTATGTTGATTTTAAAGTAGTTATCGTTTAATTACACTATTGTTATCTACTTTCAGTTAAAATCTTGAAGATGAAACTTGTTTTTACTATATTGTTATTGTTACCATTAGTATTTTCTATGCCACAGAAAAGACTTATTTTTGGTAAGTGCTCACAGGGCAGTGATTTTTTCTTTAAGAAACAAAGGTTTCAACTCCTGCAGGTAAAGTTGACCTTAGATAAATTTGGCTCTTATTCTATGTTCTTTTTGGTCATATAGCTCTTTAATCGAGTCGGTTCTTGTACATCATTGACTTTCAAATATTCTGATTTAAGCGTTCCGGATGAAGGTAAATTAAAAAAAAGCGCTTCTGTCACATGAAATTTATAAAGAGTTGATTCCATTTTGTATGTAATAAACCCGAAATATTTTATTTCAAATAAAATTCAACTGTAGTTGTACATTATTTGTGTACTATTTTATGATGAAACAGGTAATAGCTTTGTTGTTTTGATAGTATTACACCTAGAAATTAAAATAACTAAAACTACCGAACTTCTGAGAAAATTCAAAACGGAAAGTTCCTTATCAAATACCAAATCAAAAGATCAAACACATCAATCTAATAGAAACAACTGTCATATTCCTTACTTGGTACAGGATTTTCATTATGTAGAAAATGGTGGATTAAACCTAAAGCTAGCTAAACCTCTCACTTATATGACAGTCAAATATAGAGTGATTGAAAGTGTTTTACTGCACAAAAAAACTTCAACTTATATGATAGTCGATTATAGTTTTGAAGCTAAGTCAAATCTCATTTCTAAGATTTTAGATGATATTCTATAGGATCAAATAACTTTATTCATCTGATTTTCTTTCTCTCTCTGTTTTTTTGTGATTCGACAAAAGATCCTGTGTTTCAAAAAATTTGATTTTGAAAGAGTTCCGTGATTTGCTGGTTTGGTATGTAATTCAAAGTATATCTTTCTCCGAATGCGCAAGATATTACCAAACTTTTAATTAAGTGAAATCTCATTTTAACTGTAGTATGTTTAAAATACGATACTTATTGAGTAAAACCAATAACTCGGGGTATAAAATCTAACTTGGTGTTTTTTTTTTCTCACTTTCAAGAAGTTGGAAATTGTATGGAATTAAAACAAATTAAAACAAATTAGGATTTTTTTTATTTCGTTTTCATTTTGACTAAAAAAAATTTATAGCCTAAGAAAATGAGAGTTTTTCATATTGAACATTAAAGCATTCACACCGTTTTGATGAAAAATATCTTGTTATGGTAAATTCAATTGAATATTAAATGAGGTTTTATAATTCATGAACTAAACGTCTTTTCTGGTTAATTTGTAATAGGGGTGTTTCTACCTCATCTGCTTATATTCCAAATATATCGTAGATAAAGAAAAAGATAAATTAACGTAATACTATCTTTAATTAAACAATGGTTGTTTTCAACTTGCGCATATAAAAATAATTCTCTTCAGTATGAAGTTATATTCAGTTTTTCATCTTGTAAAGTTGAAATCAATCCTTCGAAAGATTTACGGACGCTATCACGAGTTGGTTGAACGTTATGGTATGGAACGCCACCGCTGTCTTATGTGGAACTCTGATTGTTTTATTATTACTTGATGATATTTTGTCTTTACATAATATGGTTTTGACATTACGTAATGATGTTTTGATATAACTCAATATGGAATAGTCATTACTTAATGATATTTCGATATTACACGATATGGTTTCATATTGACTTGATATAGTTTTGTCATTATATGGTTTTGTCATTACTCGATATGGTTTCACCATTATTTAATGTGGTTGTGTCATTAGGCAATGTGGTTTTAACATTACTTGATGTGTATGTGACTTAACGCAATGTAGTTGTTTCATTACATGATGTGGTTTTGTTATTTCGTAATGATGATTTGCCGATTCTTTATATGGCTTTAACATTGCGTAATGATGTTTCAAAATTTGACGATTTTACACTACATGATGTGTTTGTTTCAGTATTTGACATGGTCCTGTCATTCTTTGATGTGGTTATCACATTACTTGATGAGGTAAAACCACGTGACCAATTCGGAAAAACTAGTTCTACTTTTAAATCGATTTCCATGTTTTATGTGCCTTGGATGAGTGTGGCCATCCATCGAGTTAGAGTTCAAATTAAAGTTCGGGTTACTGTTCGAGTTAAACTTTGAGTTAGTCTTCGATTTCGAGTTAGAAATCAAGCCATTATTAGAATTAAAGTTCTAGTTACATGTAGCATTGGGTTTCGAGTTGAACTTCGAGTTTGAGTCACATTTAAAGGTAGAGTTCGAATTACAATTCGACTTCAACTTTGAATTTGAGTCACCTTTTGAGGTTGAGTTTGAGTTTGACTCGAATTTGAGTCTCATTTAGATTACGATTTCGAGTTGAAATTCGAGTTATCTAATATGAGTTCGGATTTAAATTTTCTATCGCGGATCAAGGGCTTTTGCTCGGGCTTTCGAAAAGAGGGATCAGGGGTATGCGTACAGCAGATAATTATAAACAATGTTACAGTATACAAAACACAATATAGAAATTAAAATAAAGTTAGATGTGGTGTGCTTGCCAATGAGACAACTATCCACCAGAGTTTAAATGCAGTGGATGTAAGCAATCATAGGCAACCGTACAGCCTTCAACATACCGTATAGTCGGCTAAAAAAGGCCACCATGTGAAAATGTGAAACAATTCAAACGAGAAAACTAACGGTCTAATTTATAACTAAACAATTTACGAAAAACAAATATGACACACATGAAACAACGACAACCATTGAACTACAGGCTCCTGACTTGGGGCAGGCACATAAAGAAAGTGCACGTGGCGGAGTTTAACATGTATGTAACTCAATAGATCGGTATGAATGGGTAATATAAATCCATCGGGGATGATCTCGGGTGCTCCGGAAGGATAAGCAGATTATGCTCAACGTGTGGCACCCGTCGTGTTATTCGTGAAGGTAAAAACCCAGTAATTTGGTTTTTTTTGGTAGTTCACATTCGAGGAAAAAATAACGTGGATTGTGGTTAAAACAACTGAAACATATCCGTCGTCACCTGTGTAACAGATATTCCAAAAAGTTTGTTTTTTCAATAAGTGCGAGGTATATCAGACAATGCAATTTATAAAAATAAAAGATTGATATTCGTATATGTTCAAATGATCATACACGCTAAAAAAAAATCGGAGAATTCCTATTTTATGGAATTGATGCTTTGTCGCTTAGTCCGATCCCCCCATTTCCCTGTAACTTTAGTGTGAGTTGATTTAAAGTGTCTCATTTGTTGACAATAAAGTAAAAGTCTTTTGATTTGTGTCGAGCCTGCGACATTAATGTAGCGGCAGTGAAACACAACAAACCTATATTCCGTCGTCGGTAGTGGCGTCGGCGTCTTCATCATTAAGATCGTTAGGTTTCTCGTTTGAATTTTTTACATAGCTTACGTTATGTTGTTTTATTATTACTTGATGATATTTAACATTATAGCTTACTATGTGGAATGGTTTTTGATCATTGTTGAAGACCATACAGTCATATATAGTTGTTATTTTCTACGTCATTTGGTATGTGGTTGATAGTTGTCTCCTGGCAATCATACCACATTTTCTTATTTTCATATAAGTTTTTTTTGCATTAAATATTACCGAATTAAACTGTTTTGACATGATAAATTTGTAAACCTCCATGAATTGTTATAAAACTTGTATAAGAGTTATTCTTCAAGATCAAGATAAAGCATCTACAGAAAAACATTTTCTTTTTAAATTTTGTTTTTACCGATAAATGTACCGATAAATGTACAGTCAACATTACGCTTTTACAGTAACACTGACAGCAGCAATATCAGGCGAGACACAGGGTTCCGTGGAATCTTTTACGAATTTATTATAATAATGCTTCCATTTGAGAACTAAGGAAAAAAACGGCAGGACCAAGTGGTTTTGGAATATCCCCCTTATGTCCGAAATACTGTTAATTTTTTAGTACTTTTTTTCTTATTTTTGTCTGTCGTTCCCCTTTTCATACCAAATAAATCTGAGCAACAACTCGAATTTTAATTTGAACTTTAACTCAATGGAATTATAGCGATACTCATCCTAAGCACATTAAACAAACGACATATGGAAATCGAATTAAAAAAGAACATATTTTTTTCCGAAATGGTCACGTGGTTTTACCTCATCAAGTAATGTGATAGCCACATCAAAGAATGACAGGACCACATCAAATACTGAAACCAATACATCATGTAGTGTAAAATCGTCAAATTTTGAAACATCATTACGTAATGTTAAAGCCATATAAAGAATCGGCAAATCATCATTACTGTGACGAAATAACAAAACCACAGCATGTAATGAAACAACTACATTACGTTAAGTCACATACATTGTACACATCAAGTAATGTTAAAACCACATTGCCTAATGACACAACCACATTAAATAATGGTGAAACCACATCGAGTAATGACAAAACCATATCAAGTAATGACAAAACTATATCAAGTCAATACGAAACCATATCGTGTAATATCGAAATATCATTAAGTAATGACTATTCCATATTGAGTTATATCAAAACCATATTATGTAAAGACAAAATATCATCAAGTAATAATAAAACAACATAACGTAATATCAGAGTTCCACATAAGACAGCTGTGGCGTTCCATATTATGGCATATCTGTATCATAGATGACCACGGATGTGTTTAATTATCGGAACCACAATCCCGACCTCTTTTCCTCGAATGTGCCATCATCGAATGAGACTTATCACCGAATTAGTTCTTTCATGAGCAACACGACCGATACCACATATGGAGCAGGAAAAAGCTTACTTGTCCTAAGCACCTGAACTCATCCATGGTTTGTGGTGGGTTTGGTTTGGTCAGTCTTTAGATTTCTATGTAGTGCTTGTAGATTTGTTCGTCATTCCGTCGGTTCTCGTTTTTTAGTCATGACGTTGTCAGCTTTTCTTCGACATATGAGATTGGAATGTTCTCTTGGTATCTTCCGATTTGTTCTGTGCACAATAATATATAAAAATGATGCATATCGGTCAAAACATATTTAAAAAAAACATTTGAAAGAGTCTCAAAGTTTTATGTAAAATCAAAAATTCAAATTCAATCAAGAGCACTTTTTCAGTGAAATGTTTTCACTGGTTCCTCCATTTATATAAGACAGACTTGGGAAAAAGACATATCTGTTGTCCTTTGAAGTTTTACTATTACAGTAGTAAAATTCCATAAAATAGCATTTAGATAGGAACTTTGGGACTCCTTAAAAAGTTTATATACTATTTGTATGAATAAAAAGAAGTAATAAGTATATATAAGTGAGAAAGAATCCCGGATCACAAAAGAAAACGAAGATGACATCTAGAAGTCAGCATACGGTCTTCAACAAACGACAGATGTCTATATAACATGACAAGCTCTAAATCGTCCCGAATCTATGCTTTTGTTTCTTATATAGGATAATTGTCGGTTTACTAAAAAATGTGAAACCATACAAATTATGACAGACTTTTTTCATATTTTAGATGCTATATTTGGATACGATTCTCTGAAAGATCTGAAAGATCTGCCAACATTAGTAGACGGGCTGGTAGGTACATTAGGTACAGATGCAACTGAACAGGATTGTGAAACTAAATGCCACACATTAAAACAAGATCATCTACTGCAATTGCAATTCGAATGTCCACTAATTTGTAAAAAGTAAGCATAATTATATTGCTTTTATCAATTCCTCACATTATCACTATGTTGTATATTATCATGGAATATATGTATGAATGTTATTTATTTCATATCGGTTAAGAATTAGCTTCTCTTATTGGATAACAAGGGGGCCACACGACATTCTTTATTCTTTAGTAAAAAATTCCATCGGTCTTTAACAGAAAAAAACGGACCAGAAAACCGGTCGTTAACGGACTTTTACATGTTAATGACCAGTGGGGCGTGGTTTCTCCGTTTAGAGTGATGTCCCTTTAATAAAACGCAATCGCGATTCAGACGTTTGAAACATGGCTGAACTGGAAGGCACGTCTGCTACAGACAACTCAAATGATCGTTTTGCCGTACTTTCCGATGCTGATAGAGACGAACTACTCAGCAACAAGAATTATAAAATTATAGAAAACTTTATTTTGTATTCATGTACTGAAAAATTGCACTTAAATGAATGGCAGTGACTTATAGTTATCACTATGACTGGTCTTCACCCTTTCATATAGAAGTCGTACAATAACTCGAGTTTGTTTGAACAATTTGAATTTATGAAAACATGGTTCCTCAATGAAATAAACATAATAGTTATGTGGGCAGTCCATATATCTCCATAATGACCAGTTCTTCAATAACTATTATACATATATTGCATGTAAACGCAAGCTTGCAATGCATCTGACTGGTATGTATTTTTGAAGATGAAAAATAATGTTGGAGTGCACTCTTCCACATTTCTTTGTCCTTGTAGTTTGATATAAAACATATTATTAAGTATTCAACACATATAAAAAAAATTATTGAATATAGTTTTTAGACATAATCTATATTAAAACTTATAAAATCTATTGTACGGCGCATGACACATGTTTGTGGAACACCATTTACCCCTAGACCAATAGTTTTGAAGGAAAAAAACTTTTAATAACAAAATTTGAAATCTGTCAGGGCCCGAACAGAACAGCCGAGAAATTTTAAGACCAACTCTGTCTGAATTATAAAGACTCAAGGGCAATAGATTCTATCCTTTTATCAACCTGCTTACAATTTTTTATTTACTAATATTGGAATTGTTATGAACAATTATGAAAGATACCAAGCTTATTATATTGAAAATAATAATAAAAAGAAACGTTTACTAACTTAGTGGGGTACTACAATCTGAACCGTTGATAACATATAGATAACAGCAATAGTACCAAACAATATTGGAGAAAAATATGACGTATAAACAACAAATAACAACACATGGTACAGATAGCCTGACTTGGTACAGACACACACTATAGATGGATTAAACCAATATTATGTGCGCACACACTAGCCCCATATGCCTTACTAGTCCATATGTCGTAAAAGTAAAACAAACAATAAAAACCATGCACAGTGCAGCTACCAACAGATTGACCACTTTCCTTAATATTGAATTAAAAGACAGCATAACATTTTGGAAAGCAACATCAAAATGTGCTCGCTACTACAGGACGCTAGTTAAGAACCCGCAGCTGTTGGCTGAATACTGTCACTTAAGAAAACAAGAGAATCTAAAAAACAACACTTATTTTCCCTTTTCCTAAAATTCAATATGAGAGTAATTTAAGATCAATATTGCTTCGAGGGAATATATTATGATCCAGATATATATATATATATTTATTTTATTTTATCAAATTTTCTTTTATTTTATATTAACAGTTTCCAGAGTCTGGTTCACCACTTTGGACATCCAACATCTGCTCCTATGCCAATGTCTACTTAATTGTGAAGCAACAAAAAAAAATCAACAAGATAAACTGTACCATGCTTTTTTGTGAATTATTGTATAGTATAAAAATAAAGAGATGTGGTATGATTGCCAATGAGACAACTATCCACCACAGTTCAAATGAAGTAGATGCAAGTAAGTATAAGAACCGTACGGCCTTCAACAATAAAAAAACCCCATACCACATAGTCGGCTATAAAAGGCCCCGATATAAAAAAATATGAAACTTTTCAATTTAGAAAACTAACGGCCTAATTTAGAACAAAACAATTTACGAAAAACAAATATGACTGACTAGTTCACCCCCAATTTTTTGTGGATTTCGTGTTGCTCAACCTTTTTTTTAGTAGAGTTTTGTTGACTGCGGTTGATCTAGTCTTAATTTCTTTTGGACATCGTGTTGTTTTTTTCTTCACTTTATTGTTTTATTGTCCCTTGGTGTTTTTTCTCTTCTTCTCCTTTCTAAAGGACCATTCTCTTTAGACAAGGTGAACAAAAATTTAGCTGATTACCACGACATCTTTGAGATATAATTTGAAAAGAACGAGTATGTGCTGTCTATGTTTTCGAACAAAAGATCCCACATAAACATATGACAATCTGTAGATCGTCTTCCAAACTATTGTCTTTTTTTCTTTCTAATAGAACTTTCAAAAGAAAGATTAATTCTTCCCTTACAGACTTGTATGTACAGGAGATGGGAGTATAATATAACGGCAGTATTCTCTCAGCTATAAATATTATTCAGTGTGTAAACTAAGTTCAGTTCAAAGTCTTAGCAATAGTATTAAATGCTCATATTAAATGTAGATGCTTTTTTTATTATGTTACAAGTGTGGACACAGATCAGTGTAGATAGTATGTTTTTTTTTCCCATAGTGTTCTATGTTAAAATGTGTTCCTCAATATCAGACCAGTACCAAGCACTTAAAATTTGCAGTGTCGGTTATTCAATATTTGGTTTTTATGTTCAAGATTATCATGGAGGAGCACTTTTTTTACATGTTATATGGATTACCAAATGATTCTGTTAAAATATGTTCCCCTAATTTGCTTTTGGATAAAAGCAAAAACTCAAAATTAGTAGAGGAACACATAAGCTGCATTTCTGCATTATATGTGGTTTTAAATTGAAAGATGGTTTATAAGAACCTGCATGTATGTTCTTCTCGTATGGTTCTAATTATGTCCGTTGTGGTGGGGATTTCTTACTTGGAACATTGTAGTTAAGGATCATCCCAGTATCATAAGTGAATGATTTCGTTTACATGTTCGAATTTTTTTCTTAGAAGATGTTTTATAGTTCAAAGTGATGATAATAAGAAGGATAATTATGATATTGTATTTCGTTGTAATGTCCATCAATGACAAGTAATTCTGTTATCTGAAAAAAAATGATCAAATTGAATAAATTTTCATTAATTTTGTTGAAGGTGATTAGCAAAAATTTTTAAAATAAAAGCATTTTAAAATTCAGAAACCTCATGTTAACACTTCATCAGGATATTATGTACATCATGTAAGAGTTACTTCCCTTATGTTGTTTGCAATCATATATATGAAATTTAAATTACTTCATTCTTTGCAATTAAGTTTTAAATCTGAAGGAAACAATATTGACATTTACAGAACATAGATAATGAAATAAAAGTATACCATTGGGCCTTAAAGTCTGTGTAGAATTACTTGGCCTATCTTATAAATTTTAAGCGCCAGCTCCAACTTATTCCATTGGGAACTTTCGTGTTTTGCCGTTAAATGCCGAATATTTTCACAGTCTGTTTCCCTAATAACTTTTGAACCTGTTGAATGCAATGTATATTATATTTGTTTCATACTTTGGGGGATTGCAATCATAGTACATTGAAACTAGCCCATTTTTGTAACACTAAACAGACACTGATTGGTTATATTTGTACTTACCCCTACTATATTGTAGTCATATATAACAATGAGCCTCGTGACGTCACAAACACCACAGCGTGCGCGAACCTTAATTTAGAATAAAAACATTTCTCATCCAAATTGGAAAGTGAAACTTCCAAGACAAAATTTTACTCAGTTTTCCTACAAATTCAAACAAAATGCACACACAACAAATAAATAAAACATGATAAGTCCGAGGTTGCGTATAAAATAGAGAAAATTTATAAAAGGAGAATGATGGGATTAAATTTTATAAGAACATCCAAGGCGTCTGTTTGGCTGTTCGGGATGGATAAATAATCAGCCATGTTCGGTCAGAATATGGACGTTAAGTCAGATGCCTCGCATAGAGAGAGTGCCATGCATATTTTGATCAACCAACCAACCAATCAATCAATCATTCATGTTTTGGTCCTATGTGTTTAATAAGGGGTCCAAGATCTCAATTCTTTCTGTTTAGCTTGTTCCAAGAGACCCGATTCCATGTGTTTAATCAGTCGGTCACTCAGTCAACCAACTAACCAATCATTCATTTAATCAATCAATCAGCCAATCAATTAATTAATCAAGTAATCAATCAATTATGTTTTGGATGCGAAAGACCGTTTACTATTTTTTTAAAACAATTGATGTCGGAACTATAATCCCATCCCCTTTTCCCGAATGTGACCTACCGCATTAGACTTAATACTGGGTTTGTACTAACATGAGCAACACGACGGGTACCACATGTTGAGCAGGATCTGCTTACCCTTCCGGAGCACCTTAGATCAGCCCGTTTTTGGTGGGATTCGTGTTGCTCAGTCTTTAGTTTTCTATGTTGTGTTTTGTGTACTATTGTTTGTCTGTTGATCTTCTTCTTTTTTATCCTTGTCGTTGTCAGTTTATTTTCGACTTGTGAGTTTGAATATTCCTCTCGTAGATATCGACTCTCTTATAGGAGTAATCTACCTTTATTAAATAAATTTGTCGTTATATTTTTGTAACGCATAAACCATAAACCGTATAAACCTAGAGTCTTTTTATTTTAGGTCCTTGATCCTAACTTAGAAATGAGGTCAAGGTCAAAGGTTAAGGTCATTTTCTTAATTTTGATCTTCCTTGTTAATTCATCTTCTCTGACACTTCTAAAGATCTATATAAAAGAACTAGTTCAAAATGATTGATTTATTGTGATTAAGATATAATACATTTGGTATGAAACAATCCAATGAATTCCTATAGGAGTTATTGCCCCTGAAATGTTTTAATTAAAGGTTAATTGGTTATAACTTCAACTTGGTACATGATAAAGCCATAGGGGCTTTTGCAAAATGTTGGGTGTCATATGACCTTGACTAATATCAACCCGATGTGACCTTGATTAAACCGGAAGTAGCCCATTTTGCACTTTTTTCACCTATGTTTTTTTAAATAGGCAAACATAAACCTACCATATGAGACCGGAAGTGACCTTCAATTAACCGGAAGAAACTAATTATCTCCCTTATATAAAAGTTTATAGAAACAATATATTTTGGAATCAGTATAAATAAAGCCATCATATGAGACCGGAAGTGATCTTTTCTAAACCGGCAGTAGCAAATTATCTCCCTTATTCCAGACAAAAGTATATAGAAACAATATATTTTTATCAGTTTCAAGAAACCTATGATTGGATGCCGATAGTAACTTTGAGTAAACCGGAAGTAGCAACATATCAATAATTTAGAAATTTAATGTGGAAAGACCTTCAACTGTTCTCTGAACAATTGTTTTTTATTATTTGAAGTTTTTTGTTCCAAAAGCATAGATACCTTTACCAGATTTGTGATCACTAATTTGAATTTATGGTTTCCAGTAATCTTAAACTCCTAATCGATATGGCTTTCCAACAGGTTTTTTTATTGGAGCGAGCGTCACTGATGAGTCTTGTAGGCGATTACTGAACAGTTGGTTGGCCAAACTTTTTTAATACTTGTCATCCGCTCATTCTACAAAAAAGTTCATCTCTTCCAATTAAATGATTCCGTTATAACCTCGTTTCATCCAGCAATATATGATAACTTTAATCGTTGGAAATATATTTTTACACAGACAAGTTGCATAACTAATGACACTTATAATGAAAATTTCTCCTTTTTTTATTTCAAGCACGAACATTTAATCATGCTTTCAAATACTTGATGCCTAAAATTGATGCGATCTTCTAATTATAATTTATTAAGTTTCCTACCTGCATGAATTAGATCTTTCATATTTATTATGAATAAAAAAATATTAGATTGTTAATATACCATTAATCATTTGAACTTTCTATTTGTAGTATTGAAACAGTAAATGGACAGAGGGTATTTGCCGATTGTTGCAATGTGCACATTACATCGCCGCTTGCATATATGTGTATTTGCTGCCCTTGGGTTACAGTCATTGATACAAGAGGAACAGACTGCACGTGTACAAAAATGATGTCTTAATCTGTAAAGGACATACTTGTGGTGAAAAATAAGAAAATATGTATTACAAGGTTTAGATGGTATTTGCATAGAAATTAAAGTATTTGATGAATTTTATCAATTAAGTTTGTTCTTTCTTTTTTATAGTTACATGTATGTTCATTGGAGAAACAATTTACTGGATTCGCAAAATTGATACTGTGATCGATTGATTGTTGCTTGCTTAACGTCCAGTGGCACATATTTCATACAAATTAATTAGAGTATGAACAGATCAACAAATAATCAAATAAAAAGGTTCTACAAGGTATGTAAATCTGCTGTTCGGGGATTACGGTCATAAATATAAGTGGAAGAATGTGTACATGTACAAAAATTGAATGATCAACTGTTGAAGACTTGTTGAAGGTAATTTTAGGCGAACGTACCGAGTAAAATATGACTATATAAGTTGAGGATGTCATGGTATAAACATACAAATAAAAATAAAGCATGTGATTGTTTCAACAAGTTATGTTTTTTGTCTTTTGAGTTTATGATGTTAACTGATCCAATCTATGCATTAGAGGAACCATTTACTGGATTCCGTAAATGTTAATTGCAGCACCCGTTAGTTATTATAGCAACATTGATGGTAAAATATTCTATCAGATCCCTCCTGCAGCTATACATGTTCAACTGTTAAAAATCATAATCATCATTCTTAATGAATACAATCTGACCGTTTTTTATTAACCCATATATTTTCATCGTTCACTTTTAAAAAACGTGTTGCTACTGGAAGAGATGACACGTAGGAATGCTTTTTTTCTGAAAACCATTCAATTCGACCAATAGTATGAAAAAGTTTACTTATCTTTCCGCTACGAAAATTCCTCATACTTTCTGAAAGATAGATCGAAAAAATGTGTTTCATTTAATGGTAAAACTTTTAACCATGCAAATTAATTTTTGGAAAAAACATATTTCTGTGCTAGAATTACAATAAAAATTTAAATGTCATATGCTACACAGCATTCTAGTTATAACACAGAATTCAAATTAATTCTCAGTGACAAAAACAGATTTTTTTTGGTGAAAGTGGAAACAATTTTGTGTAAAAACATCTTCATGATCTTATTGTTCTTGGATTGCAACGAAAATTGATATACAGATATGATATACTTTTCCAAGGTGTGTCCCTGTGTCAAATTTGCAGTATACCAAACCTTGACTTATTCATTGAAATGACACCATCTACATAGCGCAAAATGAATTTAAGGGATAATGCCAGCTTCTTTTTTTTCTCGAGAGGCTCATGAATGCATTCTGCCTCATAAGAATGTAGAAACAAGTCGATAAACAGAGGGGCACAGGTATTTACATAATAATGCTGATTTTCTGTTGAAAAACGTATCCTCCAAAATAAAAATAAAATAATTTAGGAACCAAATGCACAATAGGATCCTTTTGATGTACGTGCTTTACGTGCTTTTCGCTGTTAGGGCATACTCTCATCTACGGTGTTTTCTTTGGTTGAAGTAGTAGGAATTAAAGAACTAGAATGAGTAATCTCACTTAAAAGACACAGTATTTAAGAAGTGCCTCGCTTGCTCATTTTTTATGAAAGTCACAGACACAAATAATTGATTCTTATTATATTGCAAACCAATTAATACATATTCATGAGATATACATTTTGGTAAACTTTGACTCAATCAAAAAATTCAGTACATGTTTTACGTATATATCTTGAAAATCCGATGATTGCAAACATATATGATAGGGTATGTATTTATCTTATTCAAAATATATGAAAAGGGTGGGGCACTCAATGTCTCAGCTGCTCACCACTACCACAAAAAAGTTCGAAGTGCTTACATTGAAACGTTTATGGAAATATCGTTTTGATTTATATTAAAGAACAGATGAAAGGAAATGAAAAAAAAAAACAAATCAAGTAGAAAATTTCTTTATTTTTACCCCATGCGTACTTATTCGCCAAATCATAACGGGTGTTTATAGAAGGCACTTACAATAGTATATGGTTCTAGTGAAAATGTATATAAGCAGATGTGGCTTATCTATACGGCAATGAGACAACCACCCAACGTAAAATAATCCTTAATGACTTACAGTGGGCATATACTTAGTAAAAAAGGAAAACAACACGTTATAAATTTCATGCGTCCAGAACGCTTTTCTTTTTAGTAAGTTATGAAATATGGCAACTACTGTTACGCACATGCAAATTTGGCAAAGTTACACTATCTTTTTCAGATCTCGACCCTCCTCCTCCTTTTTGATCTCAACCAGAAGAATAACAAAACGTACATAAAAAACAAACAATACAAACCAGGACAGGAATTAAACTACATTCCTTGTTTCATATCTGGGTATACTTATTAAGTGGAATGTGTTTGTCAAATTGATCATGTGTTCCGATGTTTCCGAAGTCCTAAATAACTTTTTAAAAAAACATACATGTACGATAGTAAGACTATCAGAGGTTCTTTTACATTAAACATTTTTCGAGGTTACCAGTAACTTGCCCTTGGCTTCGGAATTATTTTTTTAATCCAGGGATGTTTCGCAATTTATTTTCTCGTATTTCGTTTTAAAAGGAGAATGTTTACTTCAATTTGTTGTTCTGCAAAGTATCGGTTCGTTTGAAATAAAAATGACATATTTCCACTTCATAAACATAAAGTATAAAAGCAACTTTTTAGAGTTCAAATTTAAACTATTGGTGTTATTTTTATGTTTATAGGGGAATCATGAAGAGAAATGACATTATAAAGTCTTCAGCTAAGTTTGAATCTACATCATGTAGTAAACTATGATTAGTTAATATCTTTACTAAGCAGGGTGTAGCAATTGTTTTATCTGGGAAGGAGATACTAGTAAACGACTATGTTAATACCAGATTTAATACTAATATAAATAGGTTTAATAACAGAATCGCCAAAATTACATATAACATGAAGGAATTAACCATACTATAACTATTGTCATATTGATCCTCATTACCAATGATGCTAAGCGTCAAGGGAACCAAGCATCTTCGGCGTGTTTCGTATGTAAGAGAAAAACAAAAACACCTTCTATTATACCAGAAAGCCAGGTGTGCATGGTTTCGTATCTTATTTTTAGTATAAAAGCTCCACCCGTATTCATAACAATGGAACCAACTGAAACCAGACGTCAACTATTATCACACAGAGATTATACTACAAAAAAATGAAATAAAACACGTTGTAAATTTCATGCGTCCGGAGCGCTTTTCTGGATTTACCTTCATCAGGAACTCTCAATGCCAAATATTTGAAAGCCAAGGATGTATAAGAACCGAAACAGTTGAAGAGCTATACAACCAAAAAGGACCTAAAATATAGCCAACTAGCGTGTACATTTCTAACTTGGAAGAGCCATCTTGAACATCTTAATCAATCATAGATCATTTGTTCGATGGTGTTCAACGCTATATAATGTATACTATGCTATATTCATTTCAAAGAAAAACGACAAAAATAAATATTGGAAAACCTATTGTCAAGTCTGGAACACCCACCGGAATTTAAGTAAAGTAGAAGTTACCTATTTAACATCCTGCCAATTATAACCAGTTCAAATTACGTCAAACATGTCTATTTTTGTCTGACAATTATTTCGAGAATTTTTTCTTCCATGAATTACCACTTAAGATCATGTTGAATAAATGTTCATTCGTATTAAAATCTTGTAAATCTATTACTGTAGTAGCACCAAGCTTTCGTTGCGACAGAAAGGGGGAACAGATTTTGTCTTCAGCATCCTCGCAAAAACGTGAGTCTCAAAAATAACTATATTTATATGTATTCATATCTATTTGTTACTAAATGTACTCATACTTATTTGTAACTGAATTTATTTATCCTTATTTTTACTCATTTTATTCATGCTTTTCTTTATTCAATTCATTCATGCTTATTTTTACTCAATTTATTCATACTTATTTTTACTCAATTTATTCATACTTATTTTTTTACTCAATTTATTCATACTTTTTTGTTACTCAATTTATTCATACTTTTTTGTTACTCAATTTATGCATGCTTATTTTTACTCAATTTATTCATACTTATTTATTACTTTAAGCTAATTTATTCATCATACAAAGTGTAGACCTATAACTTTGTTATCCAATTATTTAGTCGACATTGATTTCAAAACATATAAATGATGAAAATCAATATGACTAAGTGTTGGTCAGTGTTTAACGTCCAGTTGCAAATAATGTATCCATATCAGGCCGAGAACATGTAAATGAGCTGAACCTTGGTTTGTACAATAGATCGACATGCGGGGCCGGATATCAACGTGCTAGTTCACAAGGTTAACAGTCCGCTTGAAAACATGTCGCATTACCAGGACACGATATCATGACCCCTTGCTTACACAAAAGTCTTTGTTCTTACTCTTAAATACTTCGAAACAGCGAATACAATTTTTCTAATCTTTGGTATGACCCGGTCGAAATCGAATCAAAGACCTCCTGCACTTCAGGCGAGCACGCTTCATGCGGTTTAAAACATATAAGTTCAACGTATGATGTAATGTGTGTTTTGCAAGGAAACATATTGTTTTCATATATACTAGTAGTTCAAATGTTATTTTGGCTAAAACAAATCCTTTTGTAGTTATTTCGATATACAGTTTATAATTAATTACGGTAGACGCGTATTAGTCTACACAAGACTCGCCAGTGTTGCTGGTGGTAGAAAAATCTTAGAGAAAGATTTTAACAGCTTACGTACTGTAACGGTTTAAACTAATTGACCGCAGCTACAATATTTCATATCAGGACAGAAGTGCTAATTACAGGGATTGGGGTACATCAAGGACGAAATAACGACAAGCTGTGTAAGTGACACAGTGGTTAAAAAATTCTCCAAAGGAACCAGGCTTCTAATTTTGTACACCAGATACACGTTTCATCTACAAAAGATTCATCAGTAATACTCGATTCAAAACAGTTGAAGGTCACATCAATAACATGATTGTAGAGCATTGAAACACAAAATTGCAAAAATATGTTTTGCAAAATCTGGCTGAACCATCTAGGCTTGTGGGAGAAACGAAATTAAAATTAAAAGAGCCAATCTCGTAAGTTCACCATACGCATTTATTTTGTTGTAATGCACAACCACGTCCATTATTTGTTCGAAACACGAAAATGTTGACTCCAAGATACATGTACACAATCAATTGGATCTGAAATTACTGTCATACAAGAGATTTTGTGGCTCTTTAAAACCTGGTTCAACTCATCACTTTTGTTCGTAGTTGCTGTACAAGCTGTTTCACAAGAAGAAAGCAGTATAATAAACATATTTATATTAATTTGTTTTAAACATACCAATAACTTTTGTATTTCCTATCCTTCAAATATATTAATTGTAGTTAGTATCAATGTAAAGTGCTGTATTCCAAATATAAAGAACTTTTTATACTAAATATAAATTCTTACAAATTTTGCACATACCATTGTAATATCACATGTATATTTACAGCCAATATAATACTTCCCTGCACATACTAAGCAATTCATCTGTCAGTCATATTTTTGTTAGATGAAATTGTCTTCCAACTTATTTATTACCTAATTAATTTCACGTGATTCAGTGTGGTTTTAACTTTGAATAACTGAACAAATAATATATTAATACAAAGATACTTATGATATTAAATAAAGAAACGAGACAAAAAAAAACTAACGATATCTGGATATTGGAATACAAAAGACACCTCTGAGGGTAGCAATCGTTATAATATATATATATGAATTATACTTCAGCAGTACACAATGGAAGAGAATGAACAGTCAGATGAATATTATGCTATGTCTGCAGGAACAAAATCTTACAGGAAAAATAGAGACGATTTAGGTATATTGATCTCGAACAATCAATCAGATATTGCCAAGCTGAAATCTTCCATGAAAAAGGTAAACATGTTAATATGATAAGATTTTTTTTTCAAACATGTTCAATTTGAAAACATGACATACAGCAATATAAAATACAAAGGGACCTGGAAGATAGATTTAATCCGGCTCCCTATAAAACAGAAAAGAAAGCTGCTAGGAAAATAGTTAAATGACAAATATAGTCCGATATATGAGCGATGGGTGTGTGATGGGGAGTTGATCAAGACTGTCTAACAAACTAAAGAAAAGATGGGCATTCGCGAACAGCAGACTTTACCAATCTACTGCTTATATCTCGCTTTAGTAATAGATAAATGATTAATGATAAAAACTTTTTTTTCGGTTATTTTTATATAATTTAACATGAGTTTTGTGTATATGATCAAAAAAAGGGGTGTTAGGATGGTCCACGGTAGCTGGTTTGCAAATGAACAAACGACATTAAATAGCACTTGTCTTTTCATTATCATTTCCAACATGTACTCCATTATTTACTAATAGAGGGTGTGGCAATTCGGTGCTTTCGAAGGGAACACAGAAAGGTTCAGTAACTTGTACTTTTATTACACGTTTTCGAGGATTATCTTGTTAACAGTTACTTATTTGTTGAAATAGTCGAATTTATCTGTTTCACATTCATGAGTCCGGTAGAATAGGTTTATTTCAATTACGATATTACGTGAAAAGAAGATATACTAGTATACTATACTAACTATATTATACAAAAAAACATATTAATAATAATTATAAATACTTCTTATTTTTTTTTGATAATTAATCGTGGCAATACATATTTTATTTTATTGTTTAATTTTCAATCATATCATATTTCAAACTTTAATTATATTTTATTGGGGGGGGGGGGGGCAAATGTTTGTAGTATGCTATTTATATAATTATGTATTTAAATATCCCCTATTACGTCATACAAATTGGATGCAATTGAAAACTTTTTAAGTATAAGTGCAGCGATTTCACACGTACCATATCGCACTTCTTGAAGTATAACAATAGTAGCTTTAGTCATATATAAAACAGAAAGCCTATGTATTTGTCTTTATCAACAGAAATGTAGTCAGACTGTCTTTATGGGATTAATCATGGTGGTTCTAGTCATATTTGCTGCTTTCTTAGTTTACCAGCTTTATGGTAAAAACCAAAGGTAACTATTAAAAGTCTTATACTGAAGAAATAATTAAAATTTCTGTTATATTCAAAGGTGTTGATATACTATTTCACATTCACAAAGTATGCAGGCTTGTAACAGGTAGCAATACCGTATGGTTGCCGGTTTTCAACTTTTTTGGCATGTAATATTCACGCAGATGTGATTTTTTTCCCAAATTATTAATTTTGCTTGTTTAAAAACTTTGAGAAAGTTATTCGGTATGATGCGTTTTATTGTAGAATATTCTTTCACATGTTCCCTTTATACCACTTTAACTGTGTTTTTTTTGTAGAATATCCTCTCATATGTTCCTTTTTTACCACTTTAACTGCGTTTTATTGCAAAATATTCTCTCACATGTTACTTTTTTACCACTTTAACTGCGTTTTTTTTGTAGAATATCCTCTCATATGTTCCTTTTTTACCACTTTAACTGCGTTTTATTTTAGAATATTCTCTCACATTTTCCTTTTTTACCACTTTAACTGCGTTTTATTTTAGAATATTCTCTCACATGTTCCTTTTTTACCACTTTAACTGCGTTTTATTGCAAAATATTCTCTCACATGTTCCTTTTTTACCACTTTAACTTCGTTTTATTTTAGAATATTCTCTCACATGTTCCTTTTTAACCACTTTAACTGCGTTTCATTGTAGAATATCCTCTCACATGTTCCTCTTTTACCACTTTAACTGCGTTTTATTGTAGAATATCCTCTCATATGTTCCTTTTTTACCACTAAAACTGCGTTTTATTTTAGAATATTCTCTCACATGTTTCTTTTTTACCACCTTAACTGCGTTTTATTTTAGAATATTCTCTCACATGTTCCTTTTTTACCACTAAAACTGCGTTTTATTTTAGAATATTCTCTCACATGTTCTTTTTTACCACTAAAACTGCGGTTTTTTGAGAATATCCTCTCATATGTTCCTTTTTTACCACTAAAACTGCGTTTTATTGTAGAATATTCTCTCACATGTTCCTTTTTTACCACTTTAACTGCGTTTAATTTTAGAATAATCTCTCACATGTTCATTTTTGACCACTAAAACTGCGTTTTATTTTAGAATATTCTCTCACATGTTCTTTTTTACCACTTTAACTGCGTTTTTTTTGGAGAATATCCTCTCATATGTTCCTTTTTTACCACTAAAACTGCGTTTTATTGTAGAATATTCTCTCACATGTTCCTTTTTTACCCCTAAAACTGCATTTGATTTTAGAATATTCTCTCACATGTTCTTTTTTACCACTAAAACTGCGTTTTTCTGTAGCATATCCTCTCATATGTTCCTTTTTTACCACTAAAACTGCGTTTTATTGTAGAATATTCTCTCACATGTTCATTTTTTACCACTTTAACTGCGTTTTATTGTAGAATATCCTTTCACATGTTCCTTTTTTACCACTTTAACTGCGTTTTATTGTAGAATATTCTCTCACATGTTCCTTTTTTACCACTTTAACTGCGTTTTATTGTAGAATATTCTCTCATATGTTCCTTTTTTACCACTTTAACTGCGTTTTTATCGTAGAATATTCTCTCATATGTTCCTTTTTTACCACTAAAACTGCGTTTTTTTGTAGAATATCCTCTCATATGTTCCTTTTTGTACCACTAAAACTGCGTTTTATTTTAGAATATCCTCTCACATGTTCCTTTTTTACCACTAAAACTGCGTTTTATTTTAGAATATTCTCTCACATGTTCCTTTTTTACCACTTTAACTGCGTTTGATTTTAGAATATTCCCTCGCATGTTCTTTTTTACCACTAAAACTGCGTTTTTTTTGTAGAATATCCTCTCATATGTTCCTTTTTTACCACTAAAACTGCGTTTTATTTTAGAATATTCTCTCACATGTTCCTTTTTTACCACTTTAACTGCGTTTTATTTTAGAATAATCTATCACATGTTCCTTTTTTAACACTTTAACTGCGTTTTATTTTAGAATATTCTCTCACGTGTTCCTTTTTTACCTCTTTAACTGCATTTTATTGTAGAATATTCTCTAACATGGTTTTTTTTACCACTGAAACTGCGTTTTTTTTTGTAGAATATCCTCTCATATGTTCCTTTTTTACCACTTTAACTGCGTTTTATTGTAGAATATCCTCTCACATGTTCCTTTTTTGCCACTTTAACTGCGTTTTATTTTACAATATTCTCTCACATGTTCCTTTTTTACCACTAAAACTGCGTTTTATTTTAGAATATTCTCTCACATATTCCTTTTTTACCACTTTAACTGCGTTTTATTGTAGAATATTCTCTCACATGTTCCTTTTTTACCACTTTAACTGCGTTTTATTGTAGGATATCCTCTCATATGTTCCTTTTTTACCACTTTAACTGCGTTTTATTTTAGAATATCCTCTCATATGCTTCTTTTTTACCACTAAAACTGCGTTTTATTTTAGAATATTCTCTCACATGTTCCTTTTTTACCACTTTAACTGCGTTTTATTTTAGAATATTCTCTCACATGTTCCTTTTTTACCACTTTAACTGCGTTTTATTTTAGAATATCCTCTCACATGTTCCTTTTTTACCACTTTAACTCCGTTTTATTTTAGAATATTCTCTCACATGTTCCTTTTTTTACCACCTTAACTGTTTTTTATTGTAGAATATTCTCTCATATGTTCCTTTTTTACCTCTTTAACTGCGTTTTATTGTAGAATATCCTCTCATATGTTCCTTTTTTACCACTTTAACTGCGTTTTATTGTAGAATATTCTCTCATATGTTCCTTTTTTAGCTCACCTGGCCCGAAGGGCCAAGTGAGCTTTTCTCATCACTTGGCGTCCGTCGTCCGTCGTCCGGCGTCGTCCGTCGTCGTCCGTCGTCGGCGTTAACTTTTTACATTTTGAACTTCTTCTAAAGAACCACTGAATGGAATGAAACCAAACATGGCATAAATGTTCCTTATGAGGTGTTGACCAAGTGTTGTTACTTTGAAGCCGATCCATAATCCAAGATGGCCGCCAGCGGGGGACTTAGTTTAACATAGGACCCTATGGGAAATACATACACATGTCTTCTTTTAGAGAACCACTGAATGGAATGAAACCAAACATGGTATGAATGTTCCTTATGAGGTGCTGACCGAGTGTTGTTAATTTGAAGCCGATCCATAATCCAAGATGGCCGCCAGCAGGGGACTTAGTTTAACATGGGACCCTATGGGAAATACATACAAATGTTTTCTTTTAGAGAACCACTGAATGGAATGAAACCAAACATGGCATGAATGTTTCTTATGAGGTGCTGACCGAGTGTTGTTACTTTGAAGCCGATCCATCATCCAAGATGGCCGCCTGCAGAGGACTTAGTTTAACATGGGACCCTATGAGAAATACATACAAATGTCTTCTTTTAGAGAACCACTGAATGGAATGAAACCAAACATGGCATGAATGTTCCTTATGAGGTGCTGACAGAGTGTTGTTACTTTGAAGCCGATCCATAATCCAAGATGGCCGCCAGCGGTGGAGTTAGTTTAACATGGGACCCTATGGGAAATACATACAAACGTCTTCTTTAAGAGAACCACTGAATGGAATGAAACCAAACATGGCAAGAATGTTCCTTATGAGGTGCTGACCAAGTGTTGTTACTTTGAAGCTGATCCATCATCCAAGATGGCAGCCAGCGGGGGACTTAGTTTAACATAGGACCCTATGGGAAATACATACAAATGTCTTCTTTTAGAGAACCACTGAATGCAATGAAACCAAACATGGCATGAATGTTCCTTATGAGGTGCTGACCAAGTGTTGTTACTATGAAGCCGATCCATAATCTAAGATGGCCGCCAGCGGAGGACTTAGTTTAACATAGGATCCTATGAGAAATACGTACAAATGTTTTCTTTTAGAGAACCATTGAATGGAATGAAACCAAACATGGCATGCATGTTCCTTTTGAGGTGCTGACCAAGTGTTGTTACTTTTAAGCTGATCCTTCATCCATGATGGCTGCCAGATGGGGACAATGTTTAACAAAGGACCCTATGGACAATACATACAAATGTCTTCTTTTAGAGAACCATTGAATGGAATGAAACCAAACATGGCATGCATGTTCCTTTTGAGTTGCTGACCAAGTGTTGTTACTTTGAAGCTGATCCTTCATTCATGATGGCCGCCAATGGGGGGACTTCCTTTAACATAAGACCCTATGGGAAATACATACAAATGCTTCTTCTAGATGTGCACTGAATGGAATGAAACCAAAACATTGGCATAAATGTTTCTTATGAGGTGCTGATTAAGTGTTGCTACTTTGTTGCCGATTTACTGTTCAAGATGGCCACCAGGATTTTTTATTAAATTACAGGACCAATATTAAACCAAATTTGACCTCACTCATTATTAGGGTATCTGTTATGATTTTAATCTATTTTTACGTGATTTCCAAAACCAAAGTAGAATCAGGTGAGCGACACAGGCTCTTGAGAGCCTCTAGTTACCACTAAAACTGCGTTTTTTTGTAGAATATCCTCTCATATGTTCCTTTTTGTACCACTAAAACTGCGTTTTATTTTAGAATATCCTCTCACATGTTCCTTTTTTACCACTAAAACTGCGTTTTATTTTAGAATATTCTCTCACATGTTCCTTTTTTACCACTTTAACTGCGTTTGATTTTAGAATATTCCCTCACATGTTCTTTTTTACCACTAAAACTGCGTTTTTTTTGTAGAATATCCTCTCATATGTTCCTTTTTTACCACTTTAACTGCGTTTTATTTTAGAATATTCTCTCACATGTTCCTTTTTTACCACTTTAACTGCGTTTTATTTTAGAATATTCTCTAACATGTTCCTTTTTTACCACTTTAACTGCGTTTTATTTTAGAATATCCTCTCACATGTTCCTTTTTTACCACTTTAACTGCGTTTTATTTTAGAATATTCTCTCACATGTTCCTTTTTTACCACTTTAACTGCGTTTTATTTTAGAATATCCTCTCACATGTTCCTTTTTTACCACTTTAACTGCGTTTGATTTTAGAATATTCCCTCACATATTTTTTTTTTACCACTAAAACTGCGTTTTTTTGTAGAATATCCTCTCATATGTTCCTTTTTTACCACTAAAACTGCGTTTTATTTTAGAATATTCTCTCACATGTTCCTTTTTTTACCACCTTAACTGCGTTTTATTTTAGAATATTCTCTCACATGTTCCTTTTTTACCACTTTAACTCCGTTTTATTTTAGAATATTCTCTCACATGTTCCTTTTTTACCAATTTCACTCCGTTATATTTTAGAATATTCTCTCATATGTTCCTTTTATACCACTTTAACTGCGTTTTTTTGTAGAATATCCTCTCATATGTTCCTTTTTTACCACTAAAACTGCGTTTTATTTTAGAATATTCTCTCACATGTTCCTTTTTTACCACTTTAACTGTGTTTTATTTTAGAATATTCTCTCACATGTTCCTTTTTTACCACTTTAACTGCGTTTTATTTTATAATATCCTCTCACATGTTCCTTTTTTACCACTTTCACTCCGTTATATTTTAGAATATTCTCTCATATGTTCCTTTTTTTACCACCTTAAATGCGTTTTATTTTAGAATATTCTCTCACATGTTCCTTTTTTACCACTAAAACTGTTCTCTCACATGTTCCTTTTTTACCACTAAAACTGCGTTTTATTTTAGAATATTCTCTCACATGTTCCTCTTTTACCACTTTCACTCCGTTTTATTTTAGAATATTCTCTCATATGTTCCTTTTTTTACCACTAAAACTGCGTTTTATTTTAGAATATTCTCTCACATGTTCCTTTTTTACCACTAAAACTGCGTTTTATTTTAGAATATTCTCTCACATGTTCCTTTTTTTACCACTAAAACTGCATTTTATTTTAGAATATTCTCTCACATGTTCCTTTTTTAACCACTTTCACTCCGTTATATTTTAGAATATTCTCTCATATGTTCCGTTTTTTACCACCTTAACTGCGTTTTATTTTAGAATATTCTCTCACATGTTCCTTTTTTACCACTAAAACTGCGTTTTATTTTAGAATATTCTCTCACATGTTCCTTTTTTACCACTAAAACTGCGTTTTATTTTAGAATTATTCTCTCACATGTTCCTTTTTTACCACTAAAACTGCGTTTAATTGTAGAATATTCTCTCACATGTTCCTTTTTTACCACTAAGGAGTTGTAGGAGAAACACGTGTCTGATGTACCAACTTGGAAGTATCTTTGATGATGTTTTATCTAATACATATATATAATTTAATCGTTTTCACTACACGTATAATTTATTATTACTATTATTATCATTATTGTTTATCTCATTATTATTGTCATTATAATATTTGAAGGAAACTACCAATTAAAGCTTGATATTTGAAACAAATTTCATTTGAGTAAGCTCTATCGTGCACAATGTTTTACATTTATTACGAATCCATAACATATAATCGACGAAAAATATTTTAGTCGGTGAAAACCTTACCTGCTTATTAACTTTTATGTTTTATTGCCGAATTGTACAGAACGTGACCTTATTAAACAATTAACACAGAATCATTGAGCACTTACAAAAACAAGTGAGTTGATAGACATACAATACAGCGATGTTTTTTTTTTTAAATTTGTTTTTAAATGAGTTGGTGTATTTAAATTTCTTTTAGAGTCGATTAACACTATCGACGTCTGTATCTTCCACGTTTGTTATCCTTTTCTTTCTCGGCAGTTTTTCCTTCGCACTTGCGCTGTGCGGTTTCGGAGTACTAACGACAGGTCTCGTCTCGTGGTTAAGGTCACTGCATACGGAAAAGCTATCGGCGAATAAAAGTACAGAAAGACAATAATTAAACGCAGTACATATATAAAGATTTTGAGAAGGTAAATTGTAGATCGTATGCATATGTGTCGGCGAATGTTTTGGGCATACATTTGTAATTGAACCAAACTGACTGCTAATGACGATATGTGATTCAATATTCCGTTCTTCTAAATGTTAAAAAAGACTTAATTGTTTCCAATTCTACTGTTGACGTCGTAGGTCATACCACTTTAACTACTTGTTTTTAGGATGGTATGCCTCAACTTGAAAATATAAGTCACAAATAAAAAATTAAAATCAGTGTTCAGTTATATATTTAAAAAAAAGAAATAAATTCCTTTATTTATTTTGTTGAGGTTCACGACGTACGGCCAATTTGTACTGAAAGTATAAAAGTCTGAAACAATTCATGTTAACTTGAAACGAAGAAAATTAACGAATGTCATTTATTTATATTTCGTGAAAAGCAAAGAAAACGATGATGGCGAAAAAACTGGAACACAGGGCATACGATCTCAAAATATGGTCATGGCAGAACCACTCAGAGGGTCAGTGTTAAAGGATACTACAAGTGATATAGGTAAGAAATATTTATAAAACAATAAAGTTGGAAAGAAAAGAAAAGGGGAAAATAAGATTATTTTGTAATAGTGAAGTACGATTCATATTGAATACTAGTAGTTAAAATGCTTCAAGCATCATACCGTTTTTTAGAATTTTTGGAATCTGATTAGGAATAATGTCAGGTTGTCTATTGTTGGATGTATGTTGCAATTTTAACAATCTTTCGCGGTTATTAATGATACCTTGATTTAGAAAATTGTACAAGAATTAGGACTGAAATCTGTCTTTACCACTTTCAGACAAACATCACTGTTTAAATATAGCTATAATCACTAGAAAAGGTTTACGTCGTTTAAGAACCTTTTAAAAGCAAAATATGAAAATATGAAAATAATTTATCGTGACAGAACATGGTATGGTAATTTTAGTCTTCTTCTTCACTATCCAAATTCGTTTTGCATGTCCCTGATAGAAAGCTTGTACACTATGTTCAAAAATGGGTAAAATATTTCAAGGGTACAAATGTCAAAAAGAAAAATCACTGTTCAAATATTTTAAAGTATTTTAATCAGAAAACAGACTATTATTTGGTGTTCAAACATCAAATTTCACACGTTATGTAAATTAGGAGTGCTTATGACCATAAAGAGGCAAACTAAAAGCAGAGACCTCCACAATAGAGTCATTGTGAAACTTACAGTACCAGCATTGACATTAATCAATGTACCTTGCAATGATTTCGTTCGAAATCAACACTATTAATGTCATATTAATGTAATATTTTATGTTCATAGGACACTAGCCTAACTTATATTAATATTCATAGTTTTGAACTTTGTCTTACATATTTCCATTAAGGCTTCAAATTTCTTGATTTTAGTGAAAAACTGCAAAAACTGCCAAAGTAGCCTCATTTGAGATTGTGTCCTTGATATTTAGATATGAGCATATAGGCTTTACCTGTATGTGCCTGTCCAAAGTCAGGAGCCTGTAATTCAGTGGTTGTCGTTTGTTGCTGTATATCATATTTGTTTTTCGTTCATTATTTTGTACAGAAATCAGGCCGTTAGTTTTCTCCCTTGAATTGTTTTACATTTGTCATTTCGGGGCCTTTTATAGCTGACTATGCGGTATGGGTTTTACTCATTGTTGAAGGCCGTACGGTGACCTATAGTTGTAAACTTCTATGTCACTTGGTCGTTGATGGAGAGTTGTCTCATGGGCAATCATACCACATCTTCTTATTTTCATAGTATTTTTTGTTCAAACATCAAATTTCACATGTTATGTAAATTAGGAGTACTTATGACCATGAAGAGCCAAAGTAAAAGCAGAAATCCCACAATAGATTCATTATGAAACTAACAATACCTGCATTGACATTGATCAATTTTCCTTGCAATGATTTCGTTCGAATCAACACTATTAATGTCATATTTTATGTTCATAGGAAACTAGTATAACAGATATCAATATTCATACTTTTGAACGTTGTCTTACATCTTTGCATAAAAACTGCCAAAGTAGCCTCATCTGAGATTGTGTCCTTGATATTTAGATATGAACCTACAGTATAAGCTTAACCCCAAAAGATATTTTGCTTGAAAATGTAACTGTGTGTAAATTATCTTAACTCATGACTATTTTTTCCAAAAACTATGTGTAAAATAAATGGTAAATATGGTAACTTCAGCATGTTTATGGTGTCATATAATGACATCACATGTGGGCTTTCTGCATGCACTAATGTGTCCAGATTATATTAACCTGGTTATACAATTGACATAATTTTGAAATTCGTGAATTAATTTAGCAATTTTGCAATTTCAGGGGCCAAATGGCTCATATCATACATGTCATACCTTTTCCTTTATAATAACATAATAAGCGTAGTTTAACTTTATTACTATAAAATGATTTCTTATGTATTCCTCTAGGATGTAAAATTCCAAGCGGGCTAACGATATCATTCCCTGACATTGATTACGTATTCCTTGGGTATGATATATTAAAAGGTTTTCCTCAAGCAGACCAACACGATCCCGGATTAACATTTTCTATTTTTAAAGCTGATTACAAAACTGGTTCTTACACAGCTGATTGTCGCTATCGTGTGCCACGTGGTTTACAAATTATTCCAGATGTCTCCTGTGATACATCATTTACATCAAGGATAATTAGGAATCAAGAAGATCTTGCTTCTTCTTTGTCAACATCAGCTGAAGTTAGCGGAGGAGGTTGGGGAGTTCAATTTTCAGCCAGTGTTGGATACAAAAAGTCATCAAGATCTATGGGTAAAGGAGAATTCGTATACGTCACATCCCAGGCAAACTGTTACTACTACTATAGCAGACTCATTGAAGATAACCCACCACCTTTTGACCCAACGTTTCTCTCATGGGTGCACAAGCTTAATTCAACCAACAGTTTAGAAACATACATTAAATTCTTTTCTCTTTATGGAACACACTACATAACAGACGCTAGATTTGGTGCAAGATTTATAAAAAATTATAAAATGGAAACGAAAGCGTATGAAAAACAGGAATCAGAAGGTGTCAATGTTGCTGTTTCTGCCAGCTATTCCGGTATATTCAGCGTTGGTGGTGGGTTCTCCCTTGATTCATCACAACAGCAAGCTGCGTCAAGCTTTATGAGCAGCGTTACATCAGAAACAATATCCGTTGGCGCTCCACCACCGTCCAACGGTGACGCATTGACATGGGCGTCTACTGTTAAAGAAAATCCTATACCATCAGGGTATAAACTGTCTTCAATCGAAAATCTCTTTACCGCCCGCTATATGAGTTATATTTCAGTAAACTACAACTTAATATTCGGAAATATAAATCGTTACAAAACGCAGTATTGCAATCATCTGAAAGCTATTGGGAAAGTCGATTCTTGTGTTTCGCTTAGAAGTGCCCTGAACATAAAAAAGACAAAATTACAAGGTCATTTCAGTACTACACAAAACACGCCTTTGGAAAGTTGTGAAGAAAACTGTTTGAAAACGTCCGAATGTCAGGCAATCACGTATTGCACAAAATGCCAGACAGATCAAAGCGATTATAGAAAGTGTTACTTGTTTTCTGAAATTCTAAAACCAATATCAGCCGTCAAACATGATGACTACCAATCAACTATTTATCGGAACACAAACATGGAAAATACGGCAATACATGGGCAAGCGCTTCTACCGAGAAACGCAACATTAAAACTCGCTCATCTGGGACAATGCACTAAATTCATCAAAAATGAACCGAAGGCTGTAGCTTTTACTTACAATCAGCGTGGTTCTACAAAATGTCAACTGTATGAATGGCAAGATATCTTAGAATTGAACCATAAATTGCGTTCGTCATCCTCATTTGTACTTCACGTTTAAAAAATACAACTTGGAATATTATATATCGTGTATGTATTTAATAAAATAAACCATACTTCCTTCAAAAGTAATATTTTCAATTGTAAATTGGTGTTATTTCACAGCAAATATATATTTTCGTTTATTTTGATTTATTATTTAACTTTCAACTATGTTCCTAAACCAAAATCAACATGCAGAAGTCAAGTTATAGTTATTTAACAAGCAAATCGGTATATGTCATTTAATCTGCATTGCTCGGGTGACCCTGGCCTCCTACGACCGTGCAGATTAAATGACATATACTGATTTGATTGGCCAATAACACACGACGCCATCAATTTACATGACAATTAACGTTTTGGAAATATGCAGACGATATTCAATCCACGGCTCATGGGAAAGTTCTCTTGTAGGGTATAGAAAGGAGAAAATACACCTCTAAGTAGGAAAAGGTTTGTACTTTTAAATTATATTTTATTTAATTTTCAAGCTTTCTTCTAAAAGAGAGACGAAAGATACCAGAGGGACAGTCAAACTCATAGATCGAAAACAAACTGACAACGCCATGGCCAAAAATAAAAAGACAAACAGACAAATAATAGTACAGATGACACAACATAGAAAACTAAAGACTAAGCAACACGAACCCCACCAAAAACTGGGGGTGATCTCAGGTGCTCCGGAAGGGTAAGCAGATCCTTCTCCACATGTGGCACCCGTCGTGTCTAAATTGTTACATTATTGAAGAATTGAGTTTTAAAGGCAGATCTTTTATTGTTTCTGTTAAATTTATAATTTATTCACATTTTTCCCGACAAAAATATGCTCAGATGAAGTTTCTAATCGAAGATAGATGTGTCGAATTTTGCAAAATAAACAACACAAAAAGTTTCAATTTTCAATATGTACTCCCCCATTATCTGCCATTAGTATCACATTTCTACATGTACAAAACATTAAGGAAATAGCAAAGCTTCACTTAAAAATACATTTATTTCTATGCCGTTATATTTGGATTCTCCCTTTTCTATCTTTAGAAGCTGTAGAACTAGTTTGTAGAACTAGTTTGATTAGTATTTTATATTAAGTCTTTGAGTTAGTACTGCACGTATATTTCTTTGGCGCTATTACGGGTGAGGTTTTATAGTCATATATAAGTCCGATACTTGTATAGTATGTATCGAGGTGCTCACAGTAACTTCTAAGCACAACACGTTCTGCAAAGTATATTATTTACATTATATTATATTGATTTAGTGTAGAATAGCTAGATGTGTGTTTGTTTGGAGATGTTTGTAACGTTTTTTGTTATCTTTATTAAATGTTGCATCGCACAGAAAATAATAAGTTACTGCGAGCAAACCAAGCCTACATTTTGACTTGTCTCTTATTTAGCCATGCAGATAGATAAGAAATGTTTTAAATTCGGACGAAAACTTTACTACATGTATAAACGAATTTACTAGTCATTGCTATTGATTTGTATTTTCCAAAGAATTGGTATGTATACAACGGACGGCCGGTATAAACGTGTTCAAACAGTTCGAGACTACTAGAATTTCGAGACAATGAACCAAGGCTATCATGATTTTGGTTGACGGTTGTGTATTATCAGTACATTGCCAACAGTATTCGTCACCTACATGGCTAGATTTTTACATACCAGGTGTTGAAAGACAGAAAATTCTCAAGTATATTTATAAGAATAAGAAGATGTGGTATGATTGCTAATGAGACAACTCTCCACCAGAGACCAAATGATATAGCAGTTTACAGCTATAGGTCACCGTACAGCCTTCAACAATAAGCAAAACCCATACCGCATAGTCAGCTATAAAATTTCCGAAATAACAAATGTAAAACAATTAAAACGAGAAAACGAACGGCCTGATTTATGTACAAAACAATGAACGAAAAACAAATATGATATACAGCAATAAACGACAATCACTGAATTACAGGCTCCTGACTTGGGACAGGCACATACAGAATGTGGCGCGGTTAAACTGGTTTGTTGGCGTCAAACCCTCCCTCTAACCGTTTACTTGCTCAAATTTTATCGTCAGATGTTTTGGATTTCTCCTAATTTGAACACGTGTAATACGATATTTTTTTACAATTTAATTTGGTAGAAATATATAGCAATTTCTAAATCAGAAAAATTACTTGTGTTTATTTCACCAGAAAATAAAAACGCTCCCAACAAAAAAGACAATCAAATAAACATATAACCTGTGACAATTCTGCTTCTATTGGTATCAGATTGGTTAAATCATACCAGAAATGAACGTAGTTTTATATGAAATGTATAGTGAAAATCTCATTTGGCGAATACTTATGGCCACACACTGTATATCACTGACGGCCACGAATGTGTTCACGGTGTAGCCACAATTATACCTTCCGTTCCTTGAGAAAACATTTCTCGATTACATTTTGAACAAGACAGATGTCACTAAGTCTTGTATAGCAGGAACTATTTTTCCTTTAAATCACACCCGCTTTATATGGTGTTAGTGTCGCTGAATCTTTAGTTTTCTCCGTGGCTCCCACGCAGCGACCAAGCATAAAACATAAGCGAGTGCATGCGGAGATTTAATTTGAATAAAAATTAGACGAAATATTCTCTGTAAGCAATTTCAATTTTTCTGAATATGCGAATGAAATTTAGAAACCCAACTCAACCTACTCTTTCTAAATCAATCATTGATAGTTTTATGAGGTTCATTTTTAGACATTAATATAGGATGTAAATGTTATTATTCATACTAAAAGTTATAACATTAATTTCTCTTTTTTAAAGATATTCGGTTGCCTCAATATTTGACACTGGTCTGATATGCATGTGTTTAAATAGGGGCACCATGTATTTCAACCGACGTACTATTTTTAGTACTACAGAAATGAAATAGGGATATATTTGTCATAATCAGATCAGAACTTTTACTAAATTTTATATAAATATAAGAGATTTATAGAGAATAATGTTTTCACATTTCGAGAAAATAAAAAATGTGGCATTGTTGTATTTTCAGTAATATCATTATAAGGCTAGCAAGTTTGCAAATTGTATTCTAAATCTTTCTTTTTTTTCTGTTTTCAACTCGCAAATTTATAGTTTGTAGTAACACTATTCTATTTCATTGCTTTTTGGGGGGGGTTTTGTATTGAAAACTTGTATGTTTGCGTTTCCCTCAACTGTGTTTTGCGCTCTTTTGAGAAAGGTTTTTTGAAGAACAGTCATCTATATTAGGGTGTAGGACAACGTGATTTGTTATAACATTAATTTCCCTTTTTTAAAGATATTCGGTTGCCTCCTTATTGGACACTGGTTTGATATGCATGCGTTTGAACGGGGCACCATGTATTTCAATGGACGTACTAGTTTTAGTACTACATAAATGAAACAGGGACATATTTGTCATAATCTGATCAAAACTTTTGCTAAATTTTATATAAATATAAGAGATTTATAGAGGAATTACGAAGGCCTAGCTTAAAATACAATACTTATCTCTTAATTTTAATGCTACAACCATGAAATTAAGAGTTATATCAAGTTTTTCATTTGTTTTTCAAAATGCGTTATTTTAACATTGTCACGGATAGCACGTGCAGTCATATCTGTTGTATTTTATACGAAAATATAATATGAAATTAAAGTGCCTCGCGATTGTTGTCAGCCAATAACAATTATGGATTCTAATAAAACATACATGTAATGTTATTATTTAAGAATGCACAGAGTTCTTTGTCTCATTAATTCCCTCTACTTCTTCAAATAGTCCGCGTCTTCATATACGTAGGTTTGTTTTGGTCAATTAACGTCTGATCATGTCATACAATGCATGTGTTTTCTTTATTTTCTTTAAAAAAAATTACTTTGCAATGCTTGAAGTTTTAAATTGATTCTCCTTTAAAACAGAATCCACCAGGCTACACTTCTCAATTTTTGATTTCTGTTACAATATATTCTGTAATATATAATACAAGGGACGGGTTGCAAAATTTTTTATTGACGCTTTTGTCAAATTTATTTACCAAGGAACCAATTTCATGTTTTTCGTCAGTCAAATTTTTTGTCACTTTCTGTGTTGGATTTAAGATTTTCTTACACCAATCTAGTATATATACCATTCAAAGAGTTGTACCAATGGTTATTATTTATGGTGCAGAGAGCAGGACACTCCCTTACTAGAGGCGTCGAGTCTAACGCCTTCATTCAGCACAGCTAGACGGGTGTATTATAGAAGTTTAGGACTATTGTGAAAATTGCGAAAAGCTGTTAAATGTGTCTGACACCAACGTACCGCTCTAGATGACACTCCTAACTGTAGGTAGCTGTATTAACGGACAATTTCTCTGCATCGTTCTCTTTTTTCTTACTTTCTCACTCTAACTATCTGTTATTTTCTTTTCAAATCTTTCCTCGATTGTTACATCACCGAATGAGACTTATAACCGAATTTGTACTTACACTGCACAACACGACGGGTACCACATGTGGAGTAGGATTTGATCCCATTCCAGAGCACCCGAGATCACCCCCGGTTTCTTGGACGGTTTGTTTTGGTCAGTTTATAGTTTTCTTTGTAGACTGCTGTTTGTCTTTTCGTCGTTTCTTTTTTTGTTTTTTGCCCTGATATTGTCTTTTTTCTTTGATTTAAAATTTTGATTGTCCCTTTGGGATCCTCTGCCTCTTTTTTATCCTTTGATCTATTGTTCATTAAAATGTGTTATGTTTCTAACCATTATATATTGTGTTTATTAGAATAATTATGATCATTTACATGTTGTTATATGGGGACGGTGTCCCCAATTACGGTAGAAAAATCAATATTAAAGAAAAAAAAATCAATCTACTAATGAACTCAAAACCGTTAACCTTTTTTTTCAGACTTTTTTTAGTTTCCCACATCTGCGCAGAAATCTCCTTCTTTCTTCCGGTCTCGTTTGTAATGAGACTTTGAGTAAAATATATATTTATCAGTCTAGTAAAAAGTTAAATCACAAAAATACTGATCGAACTCCGAGGAAAATTCAAAACGGAAGGTCCCTAATCAAATGGCAAAATCAAAAGCACAAACACATCAAACAAATGGACAACAACTGTCATATTCCTGGCTTGGTACAGGCATTTTTTTATGTAGAAAATCATGGATTAAACCTGGTTTTATAGCGCTAAACCTCTCACTTGTATGACAGTCGCATCAAATTCCTATTTATACTGGCATCATCGTACATTTTTCTTTTTGTTTTATAAATGATAGTTAAAATCTCAAAAGACCTGTCATGAAATCCATGTGTACGCAGTGACCTTCGACTAAGAAAGTATCAATGAAAGTATTTATCATAAAAATATATCAACTTTTAAAATCAAACATGCTGAAAAGTAATATTTTGGGGAAATATATCGTGTATCTTTAACACATTTTTTTTCAAATCCAGAAAATTGACATTGTAAATAAAATTATATCTCTAGTTACATAATGTGTAAATGATATTGTTCCAATTCCATCCTTACAACTTTAGATAAAATGGTTATTAGTATGTATATTTTAATTATTTGTTTTGCAAACTTGTTTACTGTTATTCAGATATTACAGAAACGCATGGCAACTGATACAGTGCTAATATACTTAATCCATGAAGTGCGTTATCCTGCATATCACCATCAACACTTTACAAAGTATTTACAGGGAAAAGTCATTCTCAAGCTTCGTAGAAAAGGAGGTGAGTGGGAAAAACACAACCAGAGGTCTAGTCATATTGGCCCTTGTATGAAGTAGGGACACTTCATAAATCTAATTCCTGGTACATGGATAAACGGGGATTTTACATAATTTATCTAAGTATGGTGTTCGTATAATTAAAAACATAACCATTTTGAATTATTTATTGCATACAAATAATAGTTTCCAAATCTTACTCGCTTCTACTAAAGAAATTCGTTTATGACAGATTACATTTGTGATAATGAATATGTGGAAGAAGATATAACATTTTTTTGTAAATCGTCATCGAGGATTAAATTCGTTGTAATTCTATTCATGATAACAGATTAAATTCGTTATAAGGAATTCTCGAAATGGCTTTTTCAAATTTCGGAATTTGTTACCACAAACCTTTAATTCTCTACATTTTTCTCCAACCGGTTTCACATCTTTGTGATAATCATGGATGATAATGTAACTAATTATCACATGATTATCACAAAGATGTGAAACCGGTTGGAGAAAAATGTAGTGAATTAAAGGACTTTAAGAGCATTTTGAACTTTAATAAAAAAAATATATTTCTACTTGTGTGGACGCAGAATTTGAATTTAAGTATATATACATGAGTTCCAATCCCGGCGAGGGAAGAACAAAAATTTGTTTCCGCAAATTTGCAGATTTAACATTGTTGTACTGATATTTAGAGTAGTTATGTATATATATATATAAACATATATAAATATCAGCACAACAATGTTAAATCTGCAAATTTGCGGAAGCAATTTTTTGTTCTTCCCTCGCCGGGATGTTGTCTCGATATCACAATAGCATGAGTTCGAATCCCGGCGTGTGAAGAACAAAAATTTGCTTCCGCAAATTTGCAGATTTACCATTGTTGTGCTGATATTTAGAGTCATTATGAATATAATATGTGTTTTCAGCCGTGTATCACCTTCACTGGTGATCCAATGGATGGATCTGTCGTAGAGTTGTCACTTGTTTAGACGTACTTATCAAAATATATATATATATGACAAAATAAATTGCATTGTTGTTTATGAAAATAACAGGATGTGGTATAATTGCCAATGAGACAACTCTCCACCAGAGACCCAATGACATATAGACGTTAACAACTATAGGTCACCGTACGGCCTTCAACAATGAGTAAAACCCATATCGCATAGTCAGCTGTATAAGGCCCCGAAATGACAAATGTAAAACAATTCAAACGAGAAAACTAACGGCCTTATTTATGCACAAAATAATGAACCAAAAACAAATGTGATATACAGCAACAAACGACCACTGAATTACAGGCTCCTGACTTGGGACAGGCACATACAGAATGTGGTGCATGTTTGTTTGCTATAAAAGTGGCATAGTTTAAGTCACTTACGTAAAGGATCCTTACGAATAATTGTTGCTTTGTTTCTGTAACGTGTAAAGAACGCATGTAACGTGTAAAGAACGTATCATAACTGACTAGAATTGGATATAATGTCCCCAATCAATCTTGAGATTTTTATTAACTTTTTAGAATATTCAGGCGAACAAAAAAATTCTATCGTCTCAAATGACACCCAACACCTGTTTTTATACCCCAGATATTTTTTTTATTTAAACATATATGATATAGGGAAATCCCCTGAAATATATGATGTGCAGACAGGAAGGACAGTGATAAGTATACTGGGAACTACTTGATTTAAGCATTATAATGAAATCTGTCATACTATTACGTGGAATTATCAAACACATAAAAATAAAATAAGTGGAAATAATATTCGCGCATGTCTTTATTTTGGTTTATAAGAGATTGTACGGGACTTTATAATTAATATTGCATTTCGAAACCTTTGTAGAATTCAGAAAACTGCGATTTAAATGAAGATGTTCATGTTTTTGACGTTTTCCCTTTTGTTTTCAAATGTGCTGGCCTATCAGTTGGTAAGATATTTCTAGAATTATAACAATGGTTATACATCGTGTGTATATTATTTTATTTTATTTTATTTTATTTTTTGTGTTTTAATATATGAATGTACTTTAATTATTTTATCTATCAAAGCAACTAATTTCTACTGATGACGAAGTTTCCCTTTTCTTAGTAAACTGAAAATGTTTTTCAGTAACATTTATGATTTTTAAAATAATGACTTTAATTATTCATTTATTTTTTTCCTCAAGTTTGTTTAAACATGAAATGGATTTGTGATGCATAAGATGCTTAAGAAAATATTGCAAAATAATGTAAGATTTTCCCAAAAGGAAAAAAACGGAAAATGAATTAAAGCGGCATAGAAAATGCGTGTAACACTTTTTCGATGAAAAAAAGACTGTTACTTTTTTAGTTCCTGTTTGGTAATATAGCCCTTTAACTGTTTCGGTTCTTATACATCCTTGGGTTTCAAATATTCGGCTTTGAGCGTTTCTGATGAAGGTTAATCCACAAAAGCGCTTGATCAGACCAGACGCATGAAATTTAAAACGTGTTTTCATTTTTTATTGGTTCTCTTCCTGAAAATAGTAATGGATAATAAATAACTTATGTATATTTAAAAAAAGACTAAAGTTAAAAAGGGGGTACATATACATGAGTTAAAATAAAAGTCGCATGTACATTTATTGCTTTCTTGTACTGAAGTGTTTTATAGTTGTTTAAATTAATCTCGTTTAATTTTTTTGTTTTGAACAGAAATTTGATTTGAATATCAAAGAAGGAAATTCTAGATTTGTGGAGAACATCCAGACAGATCTACAACAGAATACTGTGCGATACGATGTGCCAGCTCACAACAATGTGTATGAAACACATCGACTACAGGATTTCAAAGCTGTATGTTTTCTTGTGTCAAAAATATACTTTAATTTTTTAAATGTTGCCTCAGTTGACAATGTTTTCTCGGGTAAAAATCTGCTCTATCACCCTCTCAGCTATGTGTTATTTATATAATGGTAGTACTAGTCTAAGTCTGTATGCATACATATTCGAATAAAGGATATGCTGAGTATATGTCTACAAGACAGCAACCCGATAAGACAAAATGTCAATCTTCAACAATAAACAAATGTTTATAAAACATCACCCAAGCACAGAAAAAAATGTATTTATTTTCAAAATTACAAATCCCTTATTATCCTGCTTTGCCTTACTTATAGCTGTTACATTGCATTATCATAGTGTTCTTTAATTGTTTTAGGGACTCCAGGTCATGTGTTTTCCAGCGTTGAAACATTGTAGACTGAGAGAGATGAAAAGCACTACTGTAGCTGACGCAGGAAATCTGACGGAAGCGTTGGTGCACAGCTGGGTAAGAGTTTCTAATAATTTATAATTTAACGACATCAAGGACAGATCGTTTTCGTACATTTGTCAACTGTTTGTCGGATATTTGATATTTAGTAAGATTAAAACTTTATTTCACATTGTGGACACCACTGCTGCGTTCATTTTAACCATTTTAACCTTGAATACAGCCGATGTCAAACTCTGATAACTTCTAACTGACGCCAAACCAATTAAAATCAAATCAAGCATTTTCATATGCTAGGTTAGGGCCACAAGTTGAGATTATCTTCGTTTGTTGTTTTTACAGTATGCTTTAAAACCACATACTACATGTGTTCGTTTGAAACTTTCGAGATAACCATGATATCTTCACTTATTTAGCTGCGTGTCATTTAGAAGTAAAAGTAAACTACGGCTCGGGATCAGAATAATGTGTCCGATCTTGTGAACTAGCAAATCCGGATCAGCATCTTCGAAGGAATTAATCATTGGCAAAATCAAGTCATCGAACCCTGAATGGGGCGAAGATTGGTACAAAGTTTTAAGATGTATTCCTTTCTATTCTGTTTGATCGTAAGAAACATAATGATAATGATATTTGTATTTCTTTGCTGTATTGTCACATTCTTACGTTTAGGTGTAACACCACTAATTCGTGCCCGGTCAGAAAGTAGTACATACTTAACACAAAATAGTTCCTACGCATGGGTGTAACTTTCAAAATATGTAGAATATTTAGGTAATTTTGGTATCAAATGAAAGCTGAATGACTGGTGGTCATTGTAGAACACTTTTTTACTTAAAATGTGAATAATAATAAAAATTGCATGAAATTTAAAAAAGAGGGTACATTTTGCCTGTTTGTCAGATCTGAAGTACCTGTTTTGGTACATCCGAAGTTAAAACAAAAGAGCTGTGCCTGCTTGAAATTGAGGAATTTAACATAGAAAGCAATGGGACCATGAATTAGTGGTGTACTTCCTTTATGATGACAACAAATGGTGGAACTATTGTAAATTTCTTTTGTATTATGTTTCACTTATATGATTAAGGAAACATACAACTATGATCTTTTCAGAACCAAGGAGTAAACAGTATTTCCAGTGACAATTCCGTACTAGTTCCAGAATATTTTTATTTGGATAGTGAGATAACTGACACAGTTTTCATGGGGGAAAAGCTTATAAAGTTCTACCAATCATTTAAATATCCCTTGTTCAGAGAAATTAAAGTACCAAATGATGGTGTTCTCGTTAACATGACAACAAAACAAGGTAATACACAATTTAAATTCACAAAAAATATTTTAAAATAATATTGTAAGCACTATGTGTGGTATAAGATTTTCTAAATATATATATTTTTGAAGATAATTTCACTTCTGCTTATCTAGCGTTTAAATATTTAAAATTTTTATCATTGAGAATGAATAAACATCAACCTAATTTGATTTATAATATAAATACATAAATAGAGTCTATGTTTCTTGAATGTTTAATTTTATAGAATCAACAATCATTTAACTCTCTAACCATTTGAAACATTTTTTTGTAAAAAGCAGTAGAACAATGAAAAAATATCTCATAACATTGTTTGTCAATTTAGTGTTGAGCTCTATAAGTTGTGTTTGAATATTCAACCAGAATAAAATTTTAAATATTGATGATACATGTAATTGTTTTAGGACAACGACGAATGAAACGCAGTGGGTATCAGACTTTGTCTAACGATTGTTTGGGTGAGACATTTAAGACTGTCTACGGTATAGATTCTGGAAGGTCGTGTAACTATATGCGGATCTGCGAACAGTAAGAAACATATTAACATTTGTTTACAGGGGATTCCTTTAGGGGTGCTAAATTGAGAAAGTGAAGTTCCCTCAATATTTACGATTTCAAGCCAGTGCCTTATACTTTACTTATTTTCAATCAGTGGCTATCAATATACTGATTTTCTATCATGCTATTAGTTTATTGACTTTTCAACAGATCTTTGTTATTTATTGAAGTTCTTTCATTGTTTATTAACAAACCCTCGCTTTTTGAAGCGGAAGGTATATAGTGATGGGGGACTCCGTCTGTTCGTCCGTACTTTCCTTTGCCACGGTCAGTCTGTAAAAAACAAGTATCCGCATCTGCTCCTGAACCACCGGACAGAATTTCGGGAAACGTTCACAGAATCGAACCTATGGTATATTATTTACCTTTGCATCTTCTATTCCATTTCTTCATCCGAATGATTTCGGGGTTAACTTTTGTAGGACAAAAAGTGTGTTGTAGCTGCACACTACAATATAATAATACACATTTTTATCCGTTTCTCCTCCCGAATCAAAACGTCATGAAACTTATTCATAATCTTCACTATATAATGCCATATAGTGCATATCATTTTCAATTGTTTGATCTGAATTATTTTAAGGGTTTCCCTTAGCAGATCATGGAATTTGCTATTGACCCCATACGGATCGATAGAGGGTTAGTAAAATCCATAGGCCGAATCCCCTATGAATCCGTTGGGGTCAGTAGTGAACCGTATTATGATTTTATCGCACACGGGACTTTTCCTGCACAGTTTTGTATAAAAATAAACGATGAAATACACTGATAACATAACGTCACCATTAATAGTAGACGTGACGTCATGAACCCCATATGAAATCTACTGACCCCATGTGGATCCATAAGGGATCACCACGTGACGGTGTTAAACCAATCACAACGTACTAATTTTCCCGAGGTGTGATAATTCTTTTTCTAGGGGTATCAATTTTGTATCCGTAACTCCTTCATAAACACAAACAGTTCTTGATTAAAATTTATCGTAACTTCCTCAGATTATAATTATTCAATAAGTACTTACTATTGCATTATAATTCGGCACTTACACATGCCATGCACTTACTTAAGTATGCTTAGTTCACTTTAAATCGGACTGTATATTGTTGTGTAGATTGATGAAAGTATGCTTCCTTTGGATATTTAAAATTGTCTTTTAAGAGTTATAGAGTTTTAACCGTCAAATTTAAGCAATGTTGATACTCTTAAGGATATCCCCTGCAAGTTTTTTTTTCTGCATGGCCATTTCTCTGACATGTGATTTGAAACCTTCTACACTAGTCAATTTTATTCTTGCAACAATTTCAATAATTATACATACAACTAGGGATCATCCTTCACTAATTTACTTTATTTCAACAACTAAAGGCTTTTAGCCAAAAAGGGGCTCCATTAAGGTTAGGAATCATGTTGATCTAAAAAATAATATGTGGCATGATTGCCAATGAGATCAACTATCTACCAGAGACCAAATGACGTAGATGATAACAACTATAGGTCACTGTTCGGCCTTCAACAATGAGCAAAGCCCTACCGCATTACAAGCTATGAGAGGCTCAACATGACAATATGTAAAAGTTTAGTTTCTATTATTAATACTTATTTTAAAACCACAGGCGCTTGGGGAATGGACCCCCCCCCCCCTTTATATATATATAAATTGTGTTTGAATTTTTATTTTTTCTAGTAAATACTCCTTGATATTTTAAATTATTTAATATACTCTTGCTCTTATCCATGATTCGATTTTGTTTGTGATGCCCCTCTGTACTTATTTTCCACAAGGCAGGAAAGAAAGACTGAAAATTTAAATATCATACGTCTGTTCGCCTCCAGCACATTTCATGTACCATGTTTCTATTATATCACGTTAGGACATGTATCAACTAAAAGACTTTTTTTTAATATTTGTTCATCATGAAGCGTTAAATTTCAATTGATATGTATAACTAGCAAGAGTTAGAAGTTTAACAACTGTCTAATGACAGTTTTGTACAGGTTATGTTAATATGTACATGTACATGGAACTGCAATAGTTATGGAAAATATTGTATAAGGTACATTTTGTATTTGCAGGAAAGCTGAAGTAAACGGAGAGTGGGTGTTTACGGATTGTAATAATGTTCACATTACGTCACCACTAGTTTACAGATGTCAATGTTGTCCTGATGTTGAAAACGTGTCCCTTCATAGTGATCAGTGCACATGCCAAAAATTAAATATGAAGTAATGTCCGTGTAGATATGAACATTATCAAAAATGACAGAACAAGATAGAAAGATTTGATTCCAATGATAGATAATTTTAGATATGGAGATTTTTCATTAAATATTTTATAAGTAAAACAGATCTTAATCATTTTTCTAACGGATAACTGAACAGAAATTGAGAGAGGGTTTGTTTGAAAGACAGCAACTAAATAACACTAGTAAAAATATACGGCTTGTAATTAATAGGAAAGGATGTTACATTTTATGTAAAAAGTGTACAAAAAACACCAATATTAAAAAAAGAAATATTAAATATAAGTATCTATTAATATTTCGGATAACAGATATCCTTCATCAGTATGATTATGATGATGTAAAATGAATTGTATCAATCTTTAATGATTTAACCATAACAATCTTTACAGTTATACAATTAAAAAACGAACAACGCTTGTGTAATTCTAAAATTTCAAAAATGACGTACGTTAAGTTATTACAACAGATAAAATAGAGAATGGAAATGGGGAATATGTCAAAGAGACAACAACCCGACCATAGAGCAGACAACAGCCGAAGGCCACCAATGGGTCTTCAATGCAGCGAGAAACTCCCGCACCCGGAGGCGTCCTTCGGCTGGCCCCTAAACAAATATGTATACTAGTTCAGTGATAATGGACGTCATACTAAACTCTCAACCCTCCCCCTATACCTCTAACCAATGTAGAAAAAACAAACGTACAACAGTACGCACAGTAAAACTCAGTTTAAGATAAGTCCGAGTCCGATGTCAGAATAGGAAACAAAAGAAAATAAACAAAATGACAATAATACATAAATAACAACAGACTACTAGCAGTTACTGACATGCCATCTCTAGACCTCAATTAAACTGATTGAAAGATTATGTCTTCATCATATGAATATCAGGCACAATCCATCCTGTTAGGGGTTTAGCATTATACCATCATAAAATATATGAGAAGAACATAACCCGTGTCATGCCAACAACAGGTTTTAGAATAAATATGTTTAATTCCGATGCAAAGATCCTATAAGTGAATCAATATTAAAGCCAAAATATGCAATCTTTAATGACCTGACAACAGTATCGTAACTATATCCCTTCTTAATAAGTCTGTTTAAAGGTTTTGTTAGCTTTTGAGGTGAATACTGACATTTTTGTGCTTTGTAAAGAATATTACTATAAAAATTGGATGTGAAATACCCGAACGTATAAGATGTCTGCATGTTGAGTTATATTTACGAAAGATGTCCTTATACCGATGATAAAATTTAGTAAATGTTTTGACTAGTTTATGATATCGAAAACCCTGGTGTAATAATTTTTCAGTAATACATAAATTTCTCTTGCTAAAATCTAATACGTTGTTACAAACACGAGCGAATCGTACAAGTTGAGATATATAAACACCATAAGATGGTGACAAGGGAACGTCACCATCTAAAAATGGATAATTAACGATAGGAAATGAAAAATCATCTCTTTTATCATAAATTTTTGTATTAAGCTTCCCGTTAATGACAAAGATATCAAGATCGAGGAAAGGACAGTGGTCATTGTTAGTATTAGCTTTATTTAAAGTAAGTTCAACAGGATAAATTTCTTTAGTATACACACTGAAGTCGTCATTATTGAGAGCCAATATATCATCCAAATATCTAAAAGCATTGTTAAATTTTTGTATCAGATGTTGTTTCGATGGGTCTTTGCTGATTTTAGTCATAAATTGTAACTCATAACAATACAAAAACAGGTCCGCAATAAGTGGTACACAGTTAGTCCCCATTGGAATTCCGATAACTTGACGATATACGGAATCTCCAAAAGCGAACAAAAATTTTATCAAGTAAAAATTCAAGGGCAGATATAGTATCAAAGCATGTCCAATTGACATCGCTCTTTTGTTTGTTGCTACTAAAAAATGACCTAAAAGAGTTTGAACATATGTATTCGCATTCCGACTTTTTACATGCCCATTTAATTAGATGTGTGAATTTTTTCTGAATAAGAATATGAGGCAAAGTGGTATATAGGGTAGAAAAATCAAAACTTTGAACAGATTCAAAATCACCAATATATTCATGCAATATACCAAGTATTTCCAACGAGTTTTTGACACTCCAAAAGTAGTTAATTCCACTATTTTCAAAGGCCTTATTTGAACAATTTATTATCAGGTTTTTGATTGTACCAAGTGTACTAGTAAGTAGAATAGACAATTTAGTAGTGGAACAATGACTTGAAGACGAAATAAATCTATATTTTTAAGGTGATTTGTGTAGCTTCGGAAGAGACTGCATAATAATACGTTTCTAACGAATAGCATTGACCGATTTGAGCTGGTATAATACTAAAATTTCAAATTTGACGAAGGTAAAGTAATTTCAACAGAGGCTGCCGTATTTACACATCCCAATTGAATAACAGTTCGATTTGAGCTGGTATAATTTATAAATTTTAATTTAGACAAAGGTTAAGTAATAACACCGTTGCTGCGTATTGATCTATCCCAAATTAATTGCACCCTGTGATTTAAACAAGTAGCATTTGGAATATAAAAATAGTGTAATTCAAAATGATTTGGATATAGCAAATACATTTAATGTGCATTTCACAAATATTGCTGAAGGTATAGTTGATAACAAATTATGTAATAATGATAAAGGTCCAAGTTTCGATGTACTCAACAAATTTGTAAAATCAAAGTTACAAAGGGGAAGTGAAAAATTCATTATACCAGAAATGAGTATTTTAGATGTAAAAATGTATTTAAAAAACTTGACAAGTCTAAAGCAACTGGTTTAGATGATGCTGGACCAACTATTTTGAGTATGTGCATCGATGTCATTGCACCAGCTTTAGCATATTTATTTAATCTAAGAACCAAATGTGGTAAATTTCCAAGTATTTTTAAAACTGCAAGAGTTTGCCCAATTTTTAAAAGTGGCGATGCTTGTAATCCTGATAATTATAGACCAATAGCAGTTTTGCCTTGTCTCTCCAAAATCATAGAACGACATATAGCTGATAGTTTGTATATATATTTAAATAGTAATGACCTTCTTAATCATACACAGTCATATTTCAGACCTAAACATTCGTGCACAACTGCACTTACTAAATTAGTAGATGAATGGTTAGCAAATATAGATAATGGAGAAATAAACGGAGTTATATTTTTAGATTTAAAGAAAGCTTTTGATCTGGTTAATCATATTATTTTATTATACCCCACGCAACGAGTTGCGGAGGGTATAATGTTTTTGACCCGTCTGTTCGTCCGACCGTCCGTCTGTCTGTCCGTCCGTCCGTCTGTCCGTCCGTCAGTCCGTCAGTCCTATTTCTTGTCATCGCAACTCCTCTCAAACCACACAACAGAATTTCACGAAACCTTTTTAGATAATAAGGACATACTATGTAGTTGTGCATATCGACAGGAAATTACGATTCAATTTTTTTTCTAGGAGTTACGCCCCTTTGAACTTATTTACTTTAATGTACTACTGCAACAGTTTGTCATCGCAACTCCTCTCAAACCACACAACAGAATTTCATGAAACCTTTCCAGATAATAAGGACATACTACTTAGATGTGCATATCGACAGGAAATTACGATTAAATTTTTTTTCCAGGAGTTACGCCCCTTTGAACTTATTTGCCCAATATACTACTGCAACCTTTTGTCATCTCAACTCCTCTCAAACCACACAACAGAATTTCATGAAACCTTTTCAGATAATAAGGACATACTACGTAGATGTGCATATCGACAGGAAATTACGATTAAATTTTTTTTCCAGGAGTTACGCCCCTTTGAACTTATTTGCCCAATATACTACTGAAAACCTTTTGTCATTGCAACACCTCTAAAACCACACAACAGAATTTCATGAAACCTTTTCAGATAATAAGGACATACTACGTAGATGTGCATATCGACAGGAAATTACGATTCAATCTTTTTCGCAGGAGTTACGCCCCTTTGAACTTATTTGCCCAATATACTACTGCAACCTTTTGTCATTGCAACTCCTCTCAAACCACACAACAGAATTTCATGAAACTGTGTAGATAATAAGGACATACTATGTAGATGTGCATATTGACAGGAAATTATGATTCAATTTTTATACGACCGCAAAAAAATTTTGCGGTCGTATATTGGTATGACGTTGGCGTCGTCGTCGTCGTCGTTGTCGTCGTCGTCCGGCGTCGACACATTGGTTTTCGCACTCTAACTTTAGTTTTAGTAAATGGATCTCTATGAAATTTTACCATAAGGTTCAATACCACAAAAGAAAGGTGGGGATTGATTTTGGGGGTTATGGTACCAACAGTTAAGGAATTAGGGGCCAAAAATAAGCATTTTTGTAACTTCCAGACATAACTTGTGTGTTAGTGTATGGATCTCTCTGACATTATACCACAAGGTTCCATATCACAAAGGGAATGCTGGGATTGATTTTGGGGGTAATTGCCTCAAAATTTTAGGAATTAGGGCCAAAAAGGGGGCAAACAAGCATTTTTCTAGTTTCATAACAATAACTTGTGTGTAAGTGTACGGATCTTTCTGAAATTGTACTACAAGGTTCAATATCACAAAGGGAAAGCTGGAATTGAGTTTGGGGGTAATTGCCCAAAACGTTTAGGAATTAGGGGCCAAAAAGGGGCCAAAATTAAGCATTTTTCTTGTTTCCAGACAATAACTTGTGTTGAAGTGTATGGATCTCTCTGAAATTGTACTGCAAGGTACCATACCACAAAGGAAAGGCTGGGATTGATTTTGGGAGTAATTGCCTCAAAATTTTAGGAATTAGGGGCCAAAAAGGGGCAAAAAACAAGCATTTTTCTAGTTTCAGGACAATAACTTGTGTGTAAGTGTATGGATCTTTATGAAATTGTACCACAAGGTTCCATTTCACAAAGGACACGCTGGAATTGATTTTGGGGGTTATTGCCTCAAAATTTTAGGAATTAGGGGCCAAAAAAGGGGCAAAAAACAAGCATTTTTCAAGTTTCATGACAATAACTTGTGTTTTAGTGTATGGATCTTTCTGAAATTGTACTACAAGGTTCCATATCACAAAGGGAAAGCTGGAATTGAGTTTGGGG